ACCCAGGGGCGCTTATCCACTGAGCCACATCCCCAGCCCTTTTTCGCATTTTTATTTAGAGACAGGGTCTCACTGAGTTGCATAGGGCTTTGGTAAGTTGCTGAGGTTGGCCTTGAGCTTGCAATCCTCCTGCCTCAGTCTCCTGAGCCGCTGAGATGATAGGTGTGTGCCACCGCACCCAGCCTAATAGGATATTATTCAGCCTTAAAAAGGAAGGAGATTCTGATGTGTGCTACAACTTAGATGCACCTTGAGGACATGACGCTGGGTGAAGTAAGCCAGACACAAGTAGACAAATATTGTATGATTCCACTTAGAAGAGTAGTTGGACTAGGCAAAGTCATAATAAAATAGTGAGCATCGAGGCTGGTGGGAGGGCCAGGAGTTCCTATTTCATGGATATAAAGTTTTTGTTTTACAAGATGGAAAGAGTTCTGGAGACAGACGGTTCATTGGTTGTACAGTTTGAAAGTATTTCATAAAACTGAGCCATACTCTTAAAAATGGTTACAATGGAAAATTTTATATTACACGTATTTTGAAAAAAAAAAGGAAAAAGGAAAAACCCTAAACCCAAAACCTCTCAATGGGCCCACTGTCATTTTGATATCACATAATATTGAGCCTATTATCTGCTCAGCCTGAGCTGCTAAGCTGCTTGTCCAGCAGGATATGCAAATGCAATGCAAATGTAATGCAAATACCATGCAAATGAATGCAAATACCATAGGTGTGGGCAGGACCCTCAGAAGATGGAAAGCCTGAGGGCCCTAGCCCAGCCCTCTGGACCGCAGGAAAAGGTGGCCATCCTGACCTTGCTGACCCCAAGGACCCCTCTCCACCCCACGACTGACCCCGATTCTCCTGTGCCAGGTCTTCTGGGCCCTCGGGACGGTGTTCGAGGTCATCCTGGCGGTGTTCGTGATGCCCAGTCTGGGCTGGCGTTGGCTGCTCATCCTGTCAGCCGTCCCGCTCCTCCTCTTTGCCGTTCTGTGCTTCGTAGGTATCTTTTAGAGATCTCCTTCCCTGCCTCTATGGTGAGATCAAGCCACACACTCCCCATTTCATGCACAAAGCACTTTACTACCAGTGGAGTCTCAAAATAAGCTGATAGATGACCAGATCTCATGTATGGTAAATACTACAATAATTCATGGTAACAACAATGGGTATTAATGATACTGAGTTTAACTGTGTGGCCATCTCTGTGCCAGGCTCTTTACATGTATACTTATTCCCCCCTGTAACCACATGGATAGGACTGAGGAACCTCTACATTAACTAGGGAGGCAGATAAAGCCCACAAACTTTGTAGCTTAACACAATAGAAGTTTATTTCTCACTACCATGCCAGTTGAGAATGAGTGTTCTGGATGGCCAGTGGGATTCTAGACCCAGGTTCTCTTTGCAGCTTGGGGCTCTGCCATCTTCCAGGGCTTTGGCGTCTTCTACAAGCAGATAGTAGACAGGGAAGGGAAAGTGGAGATTGCACGCTTGATTCTTGAAAATCCTGGCCCTGGGATAGTTTACTTACATGCTATTGGATAAAACAAAGTCACATGGTCTCACCTAGCTGCAAAGGAAGCTGGGAAATGTAGTCCATGGCTGGGCAGCCACAACCAATGACAACTCTGCACTCTGTTAAGGAAAGCACGAATTTTGGTGGGCATTGGCTAATCTCTGCCACAACCCACTTTAAAGATGAGGAAACTGAGTTCTAGAGAGTTCGGTGGACTTGTCAAAGGACCTACAACAAGTCAACAATGGGACTCAAATCTGAGCTAGATCTTATGGACTGTTGGTTTTGTGCTTTCTCTGCTATACCTGCTGCTCGGCAGGTTACCATGGCTTCATTTGACAGAAATGTGTTGATCTGGTCACTTGGAGTTGGCACTCCATTAGGCTTTTTCTCTCTTTTTCTCTGAGTTTGCAAGATGATGCTCAACACAGGTGAGATAGTGTCTTGAGAACTGGGGGTGACATTTTTGATGGTGGTCACAATTTAATTCAGCCCTCCCAGCACCAAATAATAATAGGAGGTGACAGTAATAACTCCAGTAATCCAGGGGGCTCCGAGCCACACACTTTGCATAGATTATCCCATTTAGTGGTCTCAGCAACCTTACGTGGTTGGATCTATTATGACCCCCATTTTATGGGGGAGGAAATGGAAGAACAGAGAGGTCAAGGCATTGCACAGGATCACACAGCCCATAAAATAGCAGAGTCGGCATCTGAAGCCAGGTCTGTGGCTCCAGAGTCCCCAGCTTGGCGACCCCACCCTCAGATGAGAGCCAGGGACTGGGAAGTTCCCCCCTAACCAGCCATGCTTGGGTCTCCTGTGCCTGCAGTGGCTGCCAGAGAGCGCGCGGTATGATGTGCTATCTGGAAACCAGGAAAAGGCCATTGCCACCTTAAAGAGGATAGCGACCGAGAACGGAGCCCCCATGCCGCTGGGGAAGCTCATCATCTCCAGACAGGTCAGTGCCTGGACCCCCGGCCGGGGCCATGCATGTCTGTGTGCGTGCAGGGGAGCGTGTACGCGGGGACACTGTGTGCGCATGTCCATGTGTGGGCAGGCATGTGGGAGAGCGCATGTATCCAGGGTGGCGTCTGCACATGCATGTGCGTGTGTGCACGTGCGTGTGCACGCGCATGCACATGGAGTAGGGGGGCGCGGTGCAGAGGCAGGATCTGCAAGGAGAATCTGGCCACTCCCATCTGTGTGTCCTCTGCCGAGTTGTAAAAATGCTACGTGGACAGGTTAGCCCATGGTAGGAGGTGCCCTCTGCCGATGGTCCTGTAACTGCCTCTGCTTCGGGCCTGCCTTTCAGGACTGATGAAGTCCAGCTAGTGAATGTGATTGATGGGCCACCGTTGTGCAGTAAGATCATTAAATGCTGGGGATGTGAGGGATGTGGTAGAGTGCTTGCCTAGCACGGGCAAGGCCCTGAGTCTCGTCCCCAGCACTAAATAATAAGAATAAGAATAAAAAGCTGGACACAGTGTGCATGCCTGTAATCCCAGCAGCTCTGGAGGCTGAGGCAGGAGGATCACAGGTTGGAGTCCAGCCTCAGAAACTCAGTGAGAACCTGTCTTAAAATAAAAAGAGCTGGGATGTGGCTCGGTGGTAGAATGCCCTTGGGATCAACCCCCAGTACTGCAAAATAACAACAACAACAACAACAACAACAATAATTTATTACAAAGATATTTTTATTTGTGAAGCCAGGGCTTGTAGGTGAACTAAGTGACCTATTATATGGAGGGCTGTTTTCATTGTTAGCATGTTTAAATATCGAGCATTTCTCAAACTGCTCCAAGGAAAAACATGTACATGAACTACATCAAAGAAGAGCATAATCCCGGTCCTAGAATGTTTTTAAGGGAACATGGTAAAGCAAAGAGTTGATGAGTTCTTGGATACTGATAAATCATATATCTCATGACATTAGCAAATGGGTCATTTAGCCCGTCTTTCGGAGGATTGTCCTGTGGTGGGTTGGCTTGTAGGTACCTTATTGTCACCTTGACCTAGAGCTAGCTTTGGAGGAGGAAGTGTGTGTGTGTGTGTGTGTGTGTATGCATGCACGTGCATGCATGTGCATGAAATGCTTGCACACCCTTGGAGTAGATTCCCACACCCTGGGTCCATGGGACTCCCTGAGGGACCTCATGGCATCCTGGTTGGAGGGGGTTGAGGCTGGCGGTGGTCGGTTGAGTCCTGGGTCCTCAGCATGATAGTTCTGCCCACAGAAGCTCCCTCCCAGCACTGGGGTGTACACAGGGGTCAGGCCACCAGCCAGAGCCCCACACAGCTGGAGAGGGGACAGTAAACCATGTGTCCTTGTCTTGAAACAGGAAGACCGAGGCAGGATGAAAGATCTTTTCACACCCCACTTTAGATGGACAACCTTGTTGCTGTGGTTTATATGGTAAGAGCTGCATGGCGACTGCTTTGGCCCTCCCGCACCACCGACCCGCCTGGAATTGGCTTTTGTATTAATGTGATGCACACAGAATGTCTCCATCGCAGGCAGCAGATCTTGTTTTGGTTTTGGTTCCGGAGCCTGAACCCAGGGTGCTTAAACCCTGAGCCACATCCTCAGCTCCTTTTATATTTTATTTAGAGCCAGCGTCTCATCCAAGTTGCTCAAGGCCTTGCTAAGTTGCCGAGGCTGGCTTTGAACTTGGATCCTCCTGCCTCAGTCTCCTGAGCCACTGGGATTATAAGCGTGGGCCACCATGCCAGGCTCAAACTCGATATCTTTTAAAAGGAAATTTTATTTTTTAAACAAGGGCTGAAGGTATAGCTCGGTGGTAGATCTCTTGCCTAGCAAGGTTAGGCCCTGGGTGAAATCTTTAGTACTACAAAAAAAAAAAAAACGAGTAAAAAACATTTTATATATCTGTTTTGAAGGAAAACACCTTAATTGCCGGCCATAGATAAAAGGTACTGTCAAAGTTAAATATAGTAACCTGGGCACGGTGGCACCGATCTGTCATCCCAGGGGCTCAGGAAGCTGAGGCAGGAGGATTGCAAGTTCAAAGCCAGCCTTAGCCACTCAGTGAGGCCCTAAGCAACTTTATGAAACCTTGTCTCAAAATAAAAAAGGGCTGGGGATATGGCTCAGTGATTAAGTGCCCCTGGATTCAATCCTCCGTGCAAAAAAAAAAAATATTAAATATGGTAAAAAGCAACTATGTTGAGCTTTGAAGCAAGGAGCCTCTATATTTAAGAGACAGAGACTTGGGGGCAGTGGAGATGTTATGGATGTATCCGCCCACACATGGGACTGGGATGTAACCAAAAGAATCTAAAGGAAATTTAAAAGAGGATTTTCTACAATAAGAGTTAATAAACCAGGCACCGTGGTGCTGCCTGTCATCCCAGTGGCTGGGGAGGCTGAGGCAGGATGATCTTGAATTCAAAGCCAACCTCAGCAGCAGGGAGGCACTAAGCAATTCAGTGAGACTCTGTCTCTAAATAAAGTACAAAATAGGCCTGGGGATGTGGCTCAGTGGTCCAGTGCCCCTTGGTTCAATCCCTGGTACCCCCTCCCCCAAAAAATAAAAGTTAATATGCATGATCTGTTAGTGTTCTCTCCGACTCCATTGCCTTGGGTGCCACTGGTGGTACACAGTCCATAGTTTGAGAATCAGGATTTGGTCAATATGACCATTCTTGGAACTTCCAGTTCTGACTCTGTTCAGTTTTTCTTAAACAACAACCATAGGAAGGGGCCTGATCGGGGAGATGTCTGCGGAGAGCAATTATCTGAATCAACTTTCAGCCCTCCTGTCAGCTAGCTTTCTATCAAGTCGTGAGCATCACGGGTATCAACGGTGTGGGAAACCGGTCCAGGCTCCGTGTGCTTTTTTAAACCAGTTCCCAGCTTTGCTATCCACCTTTGAGCCCTGCTGTCACGATGAGCAGGGCAGTGTCCCCACAGTGGCCAGTTACAGAGGAGAGGAGAAAAAAACTCGATAATACACAGAACCAGGGTGCAGCCGCCCCCACACTGAGCTGAATCCATTCACCAAACCCATGCAGATGTGGAGGGAGCCAGATTTTTCAAGGGGTTGGCTGGAGTGGAGAGCACCTCCCTATTCAGCAGCTAGCCAGTTGGGTGGACAGCCCTGTGTCTGGGTGTGATGCTGCTGATCTTTCAAAGGACACAGAATCAGTTCCTTGGATGACATCACCTGCTTGCTTGGTACCTGTCATCTTCCTGCTCAGGGTCTTCAGGAAGGCGCTCAGAGACTCAGCATGGTCCACAGACGCCCCCCACCCGCTGTGGATGCGGATCCTTCCCAAGGGTGTGGGAGGAGAGGTCTCGGTGCCCGGCTGAGCTCTTCACCTCCTTGCTCTCTCCTGGCAGGTTTTCCAACGCCTTCTCTTACTACGGCTTAGTCCTTCTCACCACAGAGCTTTTCCAGGCCGGGGACGTCTGCAGCAGTGAGTACCCAGATTTCCTCACCAGCCCCTCCCCTGGCCCCCGCCCAGCAGGCGCACGCTCCCACCCGCTCCCACGCACACCAGTGGCTGTCCTCTATCAGCCTGGCCTGGCACAAACTGTGGCCTCCAAGATACTGCAGAGAAACCCAGATTGTTATTGAAAGCTTGGTCCTTGTCCCCAATGCCAATCCAGTAATGAGGACACTGTTCTGAGAAAAAGGAAAAAGAAGTTTTATTGCTTTGTTAGCCAAGGAGAAACCAGGGGACTGCACAGCAGAGGCTGAGATTCTGCCCAGAGGGGAACAGGGGTGTTTTGTGTGTGTTTGTTTGTTTTTAAAAGAGATGATTCAAGCTACATTCTCTGTAATTCACTTGTTAATTTGGGAGATGGGCATTTCTGAGACCTTCTGGTGCACTCCCAAGTCTGAATTCCTCTGTTCCGGAGGTGAGGTGCTCCTGTGCTCAAGGACACGGAACTCTGCCTTGGATGGGGAGGAAAGGCGACTCTGTTTTCAGGGAGATTAGGGACAGGGAAAGATTCGGTAGCAGTAGAGAGTGTGGAAGAGAAAGAAACAGGTCTTTTAAAAAATAAGTTGCAAGCCAGGCGCGCCTGCATCCCAGAGGCTCCAGGCACTGAGGCAGGAGGATGGCGAGTTCAAAGCCAGCCTCAGCATCAGTGAGGTGCTAAGCAACTCAGGGAGACCCTGTCTATAAATAAAATATAAAATAGGGCTGGGGAGGTGGCTCAGTGGCCGAGTGCCCCTGAGTTCAATCCCCAGCACCCCCCAAAAAATATTAAAAATAAATAAGTGGCAGTGGCAGAGCAGCAAGGGCTATACATTCAGGGCATAAGGTGGACCACCTTTACAAGGTGACCTGGTCATGATGGAGCGACATTACAGTCTCATTTTAGGTCAGGGTGGTGGGTCCTGAGGTTAGCACATCAATGTTTTAGTTTATTTTAGTAGACAGCAATTCATGAATCTGGCAGTGCCAGTGGTTTGGGCTTCGCTAAAGGGATGCAAGGAGAAAACTTTTATAAAGTGTCAGAAAACCAAAGGGCAACAGATTTAGGTTTCAAATCTAACTGGGGGAGTAGGAATGTGACTCTGTTAGGATTCCGGCATGCCTGAGGCCCTCCGTTCAATTTTTGGCATCACACACACACACACACACACACAATTTTTGTTTTTTTAAATAAAATAAAGATCTAATTGCTGAGCATGGTGGCGCACACCTGCAATCCCAGCGACTCAGGAGGCTGGGACAGGAGTATCACACATTGGAGGCCAGCCTCAGTAATTTATGGAGGCCCTAGGCAACTTAGTAAGACCTTAACTTTGAAAAACACAAAAAGGACTGGGGATGTGGCTCAGTGGTAAAGTGCCCCGTGTGCCCTTTCCTATTGGCTGCTGTGACTCCAGCTTTGGCAACACAGACCCCTTTTTTCAGTTTGATTCTAAGCGGTCAGGTCAGCGGGCGCAGGTGCAGGGGCAGGTGCAGGGGCAGGTGCAGGGGGCGGGCCGGAGCAAGACCTCCCCTCTACATAACCTCAGGCGCTCAGCGGAGCTTGACCAGGACGGCGATTGGTTACCACGAGCCGAGGGCGGGAGCGGATGGTTTCTGATTGGTTCTGCTGGGTTTCATTTTGCTACTAGGACCCCATTGCGCTGGGGCAGCTTGGCCCCGTGGCCTCCCAATTAGCCTTTCCCCACTGCCCTGGAGGTGGAAATCGCCTGTGGTTAAAATGACCTTTGTCAACCCCCAGAGGAGCCCAGGAAGTACCTCCACCCACAGAATCAGGTTCCTAATTGTCTTCAGAGCTTTCCCAGTTCTCTTTCTGATATTAAGCTTCCATGATCCTGGTTAATGGTGTTGTTTATTGTAGCTCAGTGGTAGAGCTTGGGCTTAGTATGCACAAGGACCTGGGTTCAAGTCTCAGAACAACAACATGATTTTTTTCTTATTGGTGGAAGGATTTGATTAGACAGTGGGGTCCCATGGAGGTCTGGAGGGTAGGAGCCGGGGCTCCAATCTCCCACAACACAAAAAACAATTTTTAAATCAAGATCTCATTGCAGGGCAGATCCAGTTGCACACTTGTAATCTCAGCGACTCAGGAGGCTGAGGCAGGAGGATCACAAATTGGAGGTCAGCCTCAGTAATTTAGCCATGCCCTAAGCAACTTAGCAAGACCCTACCTCCAAATAGGACTGGGGGTATATCTCAGGGGTAAAGTGCTCCTTCAATCCCTCATTCTGATTCTTGTGTGGAGGCTCAATCAAAATCTGGGTCCATTCCCACTCCCCACCTCCCCAACAACCCTGTCCTGTGTTGAAGATTGAACACACAGAAATATTGAGGGAAGAGCAAAAAGTTTTATTGAAAGGATAGAACAGAGGTAGTAGCCTCCTCCGGAGATGGGCTGGGACCCAGAACTGTGCCGGGAGTGGGGATGTCCTGTCCCTGTTATAGATTTTAGATTTCCTGTTTCTTATGTCCCATCCTCCTCTTATCTTGCCTACTTGACCAAAAGGTGGGGAAGGAGACTCCCAGGGGTACAGACAGGAAGGGAGTGGCCCTGGGGACATTCATTCATTACTGTTTGTTGGGAGGAACGGTTCTGTGGAGACAGGTAACCTTGCAACAGGTGGGAGGAAGGGGAGGTGTCCTGAAGGTATTAGCATTTAATTGCCTTTCCTTTCCAACCAGCCCCCACCTTCTCCACCCCACCCAGCGACCCACCAGGTCATCTGTGACAGTAGCTGCCTTTTGCACCCCACCTTGGCACCAAAAATAAAAATAAAAAAAGATCTAATTGGCTTTTATTAGCTCTGCAGAAGAGCCTTTATCACAGAGTTGTTGCCAGAGGCCTGAGTCCAGGGGTCCCGACTAATCAGGTCTGGCTACTTGCTCCCCAGAACCAAGGAGGACAAAATCATGGTGGAAAGAAGGAGAAGAACTTGGATCAGTGTGGTCACATTGGAGAGCAAAGTGCAACCCCGCAGCTCAGCCCTGAGCTTTAGTTTAAATAGAGGAAGAACTGGGTCAGGGCGAGAGGTCTCGTCATTCAGCTGTCTTAATCACTCATTAATTATGTCCTGGCGGACTGTTCTCAGTTCTGGTTCTGGAGGAGGCTCTTTGTCCCTTGGGAGGGAGGGCCGTTCCCACTTGCTGCTAGAGGCTCACCTGGCCCTGGAAGGGGCGGGTTCCGTCCATGATACATCGCCCGGCTGGGAGGTGGCTCTTACAGTGGGCTCCTGTCCCCGTGAGACCAGGACTGAAGACTTCTAGGCGCGCCTTCAGGGTCTGAAGCAGGAGGCCGTGAGTCTTGCCTGGTCTTGACGGGGGACCAGGTAAGTTAGGGGAACTCAGGGCTGAGCCGCTTTGTTGTGCTAATTTCTAGCTGCGAGGTGCTGAAGGGATCTTGACAGCTGAGCAGGTGACACGGCTTAAGGTAATAAAGGGGACGACACAAAGGAAGGGGAGACGCCAAGCTTTCTCCTGATTTTAGTCACCAGGGGCATCAGCTCTGCTTTTACCCAGTGTTACTGGCCTGACTCTGGGGATGGAATAAATCGGGACCAGCCAAGACTCAACAGGACTCTCCCTGTCCCCCTCTTTCCCTAGTCTCCAGCCGCAAGAAGGCTGTGGAAGCCAAGTGCAGTCTGGCCTGCGAGTACCTGAGTGAGGAGGACTACATGGACCTGCTGTGGACCACCCTGTCTGAGTTCCCAGGTGAGGGCCCTAGGCCGGGTGAGGCCGGGCAGGGACGCCTGAGACCATGGCATCCGCTCAGCTGGGGGCGCCCCCTCGGCCACCCAGATGCAAGTCCCCGTTTCTAGGGAAGCCAGGGATTTTTTTTTTTTTTTGAACCCTTAGCTACAAGCAGTCAAGAACTGTGATGGGCTGAGATTTTTTTTAAAGGGATGGAGATTTGGCTTCATGGCATACGGGGGTCCTGGGTTCTATCCCCAGCACTGGAAAAAAACAAAACAAAACAGAAATTCTTTGAAGCCTGACCCGTTAAGCTGCCCAGATTCATGCATGCTAGCAGAAGACAGGAATCTCCTGGAAGAAAGCAACATGATTAATACATTGTATCAGTTCCTCTTGCCCCCAAGTCCCACACCCATGATGAAGAAGAGCCAATGGGATGCTATACGTGCAATAGATTTGCAACATGGCTGAGTGTGTGAGTCCATTTTTCATTACTGTAACAAACTACCGGAGACTGTCTACTTTATAAAGAAAAGAGGTCTATGTAGCTCAAGGTTCTGGAGCTTAAGTACCAAGTTCCAGCATTGGGTTGGCTTTGGTGGGTGATATGACAGTGGTGGAAGCACATGAGAGAGGGAGAGATGGCAGAGCAAGACAAGAAGCAAAAGGCACCGGGCAGGGGCAGTAGCAGCTTCCCCCTGGACCCCACTCCTCAAGGTCCCGCCACCTCTCAACATCACCACACTGAGGACCAAGCTCCCAACAAAGAACCTTTGGGGGAACATGTTCAAACCATATTCCAAACATAGCCTCAAGGAACCCCAAGTAGGAAACCCAAATCTTTTATAATGGGCTGCTGGATGTCTGTCCAACCTTTGCTCCAAAGGGAGACATCATCTTTATTATATTACCTAGTGAACGTAACTGCCCTCTGCACCACAAGGAGACAATACCTGTACCTTCCAAGGCTGTATGCAGACAATCTTGCAATGACAGTGTGAAATGATAGTCAACTTTGAAACCTGAGAAATGCAGAGATACAAGAGACCCAGGGAGAATTGCCCACCAACACCAGGAAGGACGGAGGGGCGTTCAAAATGCAAAACGCACATGATACAAAGGTTAGGTATCTTTTTTCCTTCAAGAGGAATGGTAATTGCAACACTAAGATTATCAACTTTTTTTTTTTTTTAAAGTATCAGGGATTGAACTCAGGGGCACTTAACCACTGAGCCACATCCCAGCCCTATTTTGCATTTTATTTAGAGACAGGGTCTCACTGAGTTGCTCAGGGCCTCGCTATTGCTGAGGCTGGCTTTGAACTCAAGATCCTTCTGCCTCGGCCTCCCGAGCCTCTGGTTTGACAGGCGTGCGCCACCGCGAATACTTACTGTATACCAGGAATGCTGCCAAATGCTTTACAATACGAGCTCAGTCATCTTGTGAAGTAGTATAATTAATCCCATTTTACGAGGGAAGACGCTGAGACTTGGAGCGGCGATGAAACTTGACCAGCGTAGTGGAGATGGTTCCTATGGCTTCCGTCGACCAGTCTCTGCATCTCTGCGCCTCAGGGCTGTACCTCAGTGAAAAGCCTCCATATCTGCAAGGGGGCAGCTGGAAGAGCAGAGTTGATGCCCAGCCTTCCAACAGTGACCGCAGGGCTTGGGGTATAAACACCCGGCTGCCTTGCCCACCAGGCAGGAGGGTCCACGGGGCGTGTCCTGCTGGCTCCCAGGTCCTCCAGTGGAACTCGGCTCTGATGGCCAGCACGGGAGTGACTTGCTTGAAACCTGACCTTCTTGGTCATCTTCCCTCATCCCACTGCCCACGGTGCTCCTGGTGCCTGTGTGAACGACCTCCCAAGTCTGCCCCTGGTATCTGTATCCTTGTCCCACCGTCCACTTCTGGGAAGACCCAGCCAGGATGCTGAGTGTCCCACAGCTGGCAAAGCTAAGAGCTGTGTCCCTGCGCAGGGTCCAGAGGCTAACCCTGCGACGCCCTCACTTTCCTAAAACCCTTTCCTCATAGAGCGTAATAGGTGAGACTAAAGGCTCACAGGTTAAGGCTCAGCCCTGCCACTCACCATCTCTGTGACGTTCAGTGTGTGACATTTCCATAACTTTCAGCACTCACCGTTCTTGTGATTCATCTCTGAAATGCAGATTCTTCTTTCCTTATTTATTGTTTTATATGTTTTTTTTTAATGCATTGGTACATCCCAACCTCCTAGCATAGTTCCTGACCACAGTAAACACCCTATTAATCAACTATTGAATGTAAAAAACGGGATTATTGGTAGTGTTTATTTAGAAAGCTCTTTAGATGATTAAATATGATAACAGGTCTAACAAGTATTTCCCCCAAATATAATTATTAGTAGTAATAACAATCACTATGCAATATGGCGTCTCCTGATTTAGGAAAGTTAGGGGTTTTTTTTGGGGGGGGGTTAGTTTTTAGTCTCATTTAATAGATGAAGAATCTGAGGTTCAGAGAAGACCAGGGACTAGCCCAAGACCACAGGGCAAGTTAAGAGACAGATGCAGTCTTAGAACCGGGGTGTTTCTTACTCCCAGCCTGAGCATTCTGCTGCCTGGATTCAGTGAACGTTGCCATTCCAGTTCTCTTTGGCACCTCTATTACCTATTGTCATGCCATAAAGTGTCACAAGGTTTAGTGGCTTACAACACCACACTCATTATCTCACAGTCGCTTGATTGGGTCAGGAGTCTGGGGGTCATGGCTTCCTTTGGGTCCTCTGCTTTGGCCCATCTCCCACTGCTGCCGTTAAGGAGTCGGCCAGGGCTGTGGTCTCATCTGGAAGCTCATCTGGGCCACACTCTGCTTGCATGTGGCCCTTGTCATCGAAATCCTCCAGGGTGGCTGGACGGAAGGCCTAGTTCCTCCCTGGCCGCTGTCTGGAGGTCACCTCGGGTTCTTTGCCAGGTCACCTTCTGCATCAAGCCAAGGACGCTAGAAGAGCCGGGAAGAGAGGGGGCGGGGGATGCCGGCAAGACGGAAGGCAGTCTTGGGAACCCTAACCCGAGCAGTGACCTCCCCTCCCCTCTTCTGTCCTTAGAAGCGAGCCACTAGCTCTGGAGCACTCTCACGGGGAGGGGAGGACCAGGGTGTGCATGGCAGGGAGGGTCATTGGGATCCACAGCAGAGGCTGCCCACCATGCCCCTGCTCCCCGGCAGGCGTCCTGGTGACTCTCTGGATCATCGACCGCCTGGGCCGCAAGAAGACCATGGCCCTGTGCTTCGCCATCTTCTCCTTCTGTAGCCTCCTGCTGTCCATCTGTGTTGGGAGGTGAGTTCCCAGAGGGAGGCTCACGGCTGCCCGGCAGCTGCCCAGTGCACCAGGCTCGAGGCTGGGGACTGTGACGGGGGTGAGCACAGCAAGGACCTTTACCCCGGGTTTGCTCTGATAGCATCAAATCCAGGCTTTCCCCTCCTCTCCCAGTGAGATCACGCACAGGGCTGTCACACTTACGCAGGGATTCAGAGCGTCCATTGGTTCGATGGAACCTGAGCCCGTTTCAAGTAGACCCAGTCGGATAATTGGGCATTTCTCCATTTTCCCAAATCCCAACAACCTTAGCCTCTAGAAGTGATCGGTGCCTTTTCTTGACCTGAGAGAGCCCAGACCAAGCCCCAGGAGGAATCTATGGACCATGGAAGCTGGGCGAGAGGCAGCTTGGACCAGGAAATGTTGGCATTCCGGGACATGGAGTGGGACCGCCGAGGGTCGGGAATCAGGATTGTCCTATAAATACTGAATACCGGTGTCCGGTCCCTGGCTCAGCTGGCTCCTGGCTCCATTCCTGACCCCCTAAGTTCCTCTCTGGGCTGATTATTTGTATCCAGTCTCGCCCCCAAACCAGTCTCAGCCTGGTACCCTGGAGAGGGTCCTGGAATATGTATACCCAGGGGGACTGTCACTACCCCAGGGGGACTGTCACTACCGTGTGTGTCTACGTGTGTGTTCGATGGAGGTGACCTTCGCCAATTTGCAGGGTTTAAATTCCACCTGAAAGGTAGGATTTTGCTGAGGGGCAGGTGTGTGTGTGTGTGTGTGTGTGTGTGTGTGTGTGTGTGCGCGCACACACACACAAATACCTGATCACCTGCTTTTTTTCCCTTTCCCCAGAAACGTGCTCACCCTGTTACTCTTCATTGCAAGAGCGTTCATTTCCGGAGGCTTCCAAGCAGCCTATGTTTACACACCTGAGGTAGGAGAAGGGTCTGGGAACGACTGGGGTGAGGTCGGTGGCCCCTATAAACTGCTGCCTGGCATGCTCCGTGGAATGTGTCCTTGGGTCCAAAGGGCAACTGGGAAACCCTCCATAAAAACACCTGCTCAGCGGCAGAATCCAGATGTCACCTAGCTGTGTGAACACAGAGAGAAAGGACCCCGCATTCTCCTCCCTGGGGACAACTCTTTCCGAGCTGCCTCTGTGGGTGCGTGTGAGCAGTCCCATTGGGCTATCAGTCATCTGAAAAGAGTTTAATAAAGGGACTGGTTGCACGGGTGTGGCACAGAGCCTAGGGGAACCAACGCCCCAGAGTGTACAGTGAGGTGCAGGTGCCCAGGGGGACTGTCACTACCCAAAGCTGGTTGGGTGAAGAGAGAAGTAGATAGAATTTCTTTTCTTTTTTTGGGGGGAGGGTACCAGGGAATGAACCCAGGGGCACTTAACCCCCAGCCACATCCCCAGGGCTTTTTATTTTTACTTTGAGACGGGGTCTTGCTAAATTGCTGAGGCTGGCTTAGAACTCATGATCCTCGTGCCTCAGCCTCCCGAGCTGATGGGATTACAGGCATGAGGCTGGGTGGGATTTTTAATGGAAGGAGACAGTTGACATTTAAATCTCAGTGTTGGGTAATCAAGTTTGATTGTGACACACCATACCCTTTCATGTACAGATGATTCAGAGTGTGTGTGTGTGTGTGTGTGTGTGTGTATGTTATTAGGGATTGAGCCCAGGGCTTTGCATGTGCTAGGCAAGCGGTCTACCCCTGGGCTACACCCCCAGCCGCACAGATGATTCCTGATTTCTAAATGTTCAGCTTTAGGACGGAGTGAAAGCCCTGTGCTATTCAGTAGCACCCACACTGTGGTGTTGGGTAGCTTAGATGTATTAAGCGCATTGTTGAGTTTTTAACTTGGAAGGGATTTATTGGGCTCTAACCCATCCTCAGGCAAGGGACCTCTGTCCATGGGGGCTGCTCTGTGCTCTTTGGCATGGATGCCAGAGACCATCTGACCCACACTGCCCAGAGAAACTGTAACAAATAACCCCCAACATGGATCGGTTGATGTGAAAAGAGTTCCTCATCTGTGAAGCAGTCCAGTATGCGGGATCTAGGTTGGGGAGCAGCTTTCCATCCTGCAGTGATCAAGTGACTTTGTCCCCCAGGGGATATTTGGCACCATCTGGAGATGCATGGGGTTGTTGTAACTTGGGGCCAGGATCAGAGGCCAGAGATGAGGCTGAGCTCCCTCACAGCAGGGTCCCCATGGCAGAGAAGGACCCATCCTGACCCCCGAGGGTGCTGAGGTCGGGAACCTGCCTGCCCCATGGTCCCGGAGTCTTCCCGGAGCCAGAGGAAGCCAGTGGAGAGGACATGTCCCCTTCTGACCATCTTGGCCTGAAAGATGCACGTCCCCCTCTCTTGGTCCAGGGGACAGCTGTGCACGTGACCACACCGGGGTGTAAACAGAAGCTGTGTAGCACTCTCGTCTCTCTTTGTGAAATTCCTTGAAAGCCCATGGTCAAAGCCTTAAGGGGAACTCGGGAGAAGTCACAGGTGGGACCCTGTGGGTACAGAGGAGTCTCTGGGGGCCTCCCTGGGCAAGAGGAGCCCCAGACTGGGTTCTTGCCCACATCCACCCCTGGGCCTCTGCCTTGGCTGAACTTGCCACCCACTTTGGGGTGTGAATGCCCCTGGCCCCCCGTCTTGCACCCCTTAACTGGGTCAGCAACACCTGGAGGAACGTGTCTGGACTTCAGGCCTGCCCGTGGGGGTGGTCACTTCGGTCCTGAGCTGCAGGGGACCGAGGGAATTTTGCATCTTCCTGAGCCCACGTTGGGTTCCGTTCCAGGTCTACCCCACGGCGACGCGGGCGCTGGGCCTGGGCACCTGCAGCGGCATGGCCAGGGTGGGCGCGCTCATCACGCCCTTCATCGCTCAGGTGGGTATCACCCGAGGGCAGGGGAGGGGCTCCAGAGCCCAGGGCACAGTGAGCAGCCGCTGTCCCCCGAGCCCTCGGGGTTCACGAGAGTGGGCCTGCCACCCGCCTGCGTGCAGATGGGAACACAGAGGCACAGAGGGATAGAGGAGTCGCCGAGGTCACACAGCTGGGACCTAGACAGGGCCACAGGGGAATTCAGGTCCTTCCTGGGCAGGAGACCCTTCGAGTGCCAGATGCTTCGACCCCAAGCAATTTCGATAAGCTGGGCATCAGTGCCCTGGTGTGAGGCAGGAGGGGGGCCTGGGCCCAGGAGTGTGAGGCCAGCAAGGCCAACAGACCTACCCCCCCACAGTTTGGGGGATGAAAAATAACTGGATCAACGTGGGAAACTAATGTCCTAATCTCTCTTTTCAAATCGGAATTATAAGGGATAGTTACACAGTTTCACAACTCTGTGTGCCTCTAAGCATTTCTGTTTAGTTTTGGGGATCTCACTAAATCTATTGCTTTTTGAATATCCAACATTTTTTTCTGTTTTAATTGAGATAAAAGTCCTGTAATTAAATTTTTTTTTTTTTTTTTTTGGTACCAGGGATTGAACACAGGGACACTTAACCACCTGGCCACATCCCCAGCCCTTTTCATTTTCTTTTTATTCTGAGACAGAGTCTTGCTAAATTGCTCAGGGCCTTGCTAAATTGCTGAGGCTGGCCTCAAACTTGCAATCCTCCTACCTCAGCCTCTCATGTTGCTGGGATTATTGACAGGCACCACCACACCCAGCCCTCTGCCCTTCAAACAGCCATTCCCTCCATTCTCTCCTTCCCCAGTCCTTATCAGCTGTCCTTCTGCCCTCTGTCTCTGGGGATTTGCCTATTCTGGATGGTTGAAATAAATGGAATTCCAACACCTGTGTGAGCCAAGTATTTCCCTGGTGCTGTGATTGGCCACCGCACATCACTCCTAGCTGATGTTGGCTGTGAACCTGCCATGGGGCTGCAGAGTGCCAGGTGCTCTCAGCTGCCCTCTCACTCACGAGACAGTGCCCTTTTGCCCATTCCGCAGATGAGGAAACAGGAGTCAGCCGTGCCGTGTGGCCTGCCGTGTGTTGTAAAGCTGGGAACTTGGCACAGGCCAGAGCAGAATTATGAGGAGTCCAGACTCTTGGGCTTGATGTGCCCAAGTTCAAATCCCAGCTCCATCCTTATTATCTGTGTAACCCTAGGTATGCTTTTACCCTCTCTGAGCCTCAGTTTTCTCCTCTGTAAAATGGGGATAAAGTGCTCAGCTCACAGGGCTGTTTTGTAGAGTGCCTGTGATGATTCCTTCCTCCCTCCATCGTTTCCTTCTTTCCTTCCATCCTTCCTTTCTATTGAACCCTAGGGTGCTTAACCACGGAGCCACATTCCCCCAGACTTTTGGATAGTTTATTTAGAGACAGAGTCTCACTAGGTTGCTTAGGGCCTTACTAAGTTGCTGAAGCTGGCTTTAACTCAGGATCCTCCCGCCTCAGCCTCCCGAGCCACTGGGATGACAGTGGGCCACCACGGCCAGCCAGAGGGGATGTTCTCACCCACCTGCGTCTCCCTCCCCAGGTGATGCTGGAGTCCTCCGTGTACCTGACGCTGGCCGTGTACAGTGGCTGCTGCCTCCTGGCCGCCGTGGCTTCCTGTTTTCTACCCATCGAGACCAAAGGCCGAGGACTCCAGGAGTCTAGCCACCGGGAGTGGGGCCAGGAGATGGTTGGCAGAGGGACACACGGTGCAGGTGTCGCCAGGTCGAACTCTGGATCTCAGGAATAGTGACCGCTGGGGAAGCTGAGCTGGTGTCTTGGAGGCTGCGGAGCCGGGAGAGCTGGCAGAGCCCAGCCGGGCTGCTTGTGGTCACTGCCGACATCGGGAACTTACCCAAGAAGACGGGCTGGACTCACAGGGTTCTGCGTCTTGACTCCCTTTGCTGTGTTCCCTGAGGCCGCCCGGGATGGGGAGGCTCTGCCCTAGGGGTTCCCTGTGTAGGGGAAGGCTTTCTAACGACCTGTGGGTCTGCATGGGAAAACTGCCACTTGTAGGTGAGTCTGGGGGTCCTGGCAGCCAAGCAGATGCCACCCAGAGTCACCCTGTCACACCTTCAGTGAACCACCACCAAAAGATCTCTGTAGATACCGTCCAGGCCCAGACCCCTGTGACACTTGCCATCCACCAACTGGACCTGTTCAGTAGGTGTCTCCTACACCCCCCGGCCCCAGGCTTTCTTCTTTGAGATGACAGGTGACCTAGGTGTGTGGCCTGAGCGGCTTGTTCTTAGACTGGGGAAATGCTCTCCTGCCTATCAGCAGGGGCCCTCCCCGACTCCCCGGGGTCTGCCCAGTGGAGACTGGCTGGTGCACCTGCATTGGAACCTGAGCCCAGTGTCCCCGAGTGGCTACCTCTGGAATCGTGTCTCTGGCTCCAGGGCATCCGGACGTGTCCCTGGGAAGAGCAAGGTTTGCACCCGATGGCAAACTCAGAAAGCTGTGATCCCACTCCCAGCCCAGAAATTGGGGGCTGAGGCTCAAAGGAGGAGAAATTCAAGCTCGAAGCCCAAACAGGAGTCACCCCTGTAGCAGCAGCAAAGGCCATGCTCAGGCATTCTGTCCAGGTCTCCTCCTGGGCCAGCCTGAGTGGTGACTCCTGGGGAGAGGAAGTGGCTCACTCAGGTTTCAAGGTTGGATTTTGCACTTAGGTAGAGGGCTGAGTGGGCAGAGGAACCAAAAGGACATGCCTGGGTCGGGGTCAGGGGAGCAGGAATCCCTGACGCACACATGCTTCTTCCTTCCTGTTTGTGGGCACCCCCTGTTGAGGGCTGTGCTGGTCCAGACCACATAGAGGCAGCTCCTGGGCTCCCACCCATGGCACCCCCAGTGGGGATCCTGGAGCGGGGAAGAGCAGGAAGGCCCGGATGTGGGAAGAGTGAACATTTTCAGAGGAGGAGGAAGGAGGCCGTTGGGGCTCCGTGTTGGCCTTCAGAGGAAGCCGGCTGCATCCCTCCCAGGATTGGTCGACACGAGCCTTTTCCCCATGGAGAAGGCCGAGGACCCATGGAGGGAGGAAGGAGGCCACCAGATCCCCTCCGAGGCCAGAGAGGACCTACCCGTTGCTCGATGTCAAGGGAGCCCAATGTGTGCGTTCATCTCCTATTAAAACATGTCGGTGACGGACGAGGCGGAGGTCTAAGCCTGCTCATTTGTCATAGTGTCCTAGTGACCATGCAGTTTGACAGTCTTGGGAACTCTGTCCATCCGAGGAAATCTCAGCGTTTGGATAGGATAAACTCTTCCAAAAAGAGGGGGAAGTTGCCCAATTGACCTGCACCATCGGGCCTGGGCATGACCCTTGGTTCTAAGGTGTGGAGGCCATGATGGACGACTTCTTCCGGCTCAAGTCCTAGGTCGGCTGCAAACACTCCCCAGTCCTTGGAAATAGGCTGCAATCCTCCCTAGTCCAGGCTGTCCAACAGCACACAGCTTGGCGGATCTATCTTTCTCTCTCCCTTTCTCTCTCTCTCTCTCTCTCTCTCTCTCTCTTTCTGACATCCACATTTTCTTGAACTCCAAGTAGCTAGAGCTCTAGTGATTTCTGGACATCTGAGTTCTCCTAGGTAACACAGTATCTTTTATTTATTTATTTATTTTGCAGGGGTGGGTGTGGGTACCAGGGATTGAACTCAAGGGCACTCGACCACTGAGCCCCATCCCCAGCCCTATTTTGCATTTTATTTAGAGACAGGGTCTCACTGAGGTGCTTAGGGCCTCGCTTTTGCTGAGGCTGGCTTTGAACTCGTGATCCTCTTGCCTCAGCCTCCCGAGCCTTTGGTTTTGTCTTCTTTTTTGCTTTTTGCCTTCCAGCTTCTCAGATACTGCCAGTGGAACACATCTGCTTCTTCACCCTCAAATAATCCAGTAAATTGGGGACTGGGAAGGAGTATATGGTAGGCAGGAAATGTTTTCTAGGGACTGTGTTGAAGGAATCAGTTTTCTACTTGAGAGAAAGAAAGTTTAAAATTCTTTACCTTCTAATTGGCTTGCCCTTTAAAAACAAATCAATGTTATTGAATGATATAAGAAATGTCACAGTAGTCATAAGTCTCTGAAATACATAGGGCCTGAAGCTGAAGGTGTTTGTATCTCATTTTAAACCATTCTCTCAAAAGCTCCTGTTTCCATTAATGGAAATGTCATTTGTTTCTCTCCACTTTAGAAAGGATTCCAGAAAATGTTCAGCATAGCCAGGGTCTTTGATTCTTATTTCAGGCATTCTCAAGGGTACGTAAATGACCTTGGTGTTGCTGGCAGTGACATGAAAGAGTATCTAGGGGTCAGCTTTGAAAGGAGTGTAGATTGTGTGTGTGTGTGTGTGTGTGTGTGTGTGTGTGTGTGTGAGATTGAACTGAGGGGAGCTTATCCACTGAGCCACATCCCAGCCCTTTCTCATATTTTATTTAGAGACAGGGTCTCACTGAGTGGCTTAGGACCTTGCTAAGTTGTCGAGGCTGGCTTCAAACTCATGATCCTCCTGCCTCAGCCTCCTGAGCTGTTGGGATTACAGGTGTGCGCCACCCCACCTGGGGATATTCAATATCGTAATAATGATAATCATTGGAAGTCTCTCAATGATGACAAGTTTCCCCGAGTTGTTACATCAAAGGACTGGCACACCCTTAGCCACAAGTAGCAGCTCAACAACAGCCTCAAAGTCAGGCAGAGTCCAGGGGAGCTTCAGCAGCTCAGCAGTTCATCAAGGACTCAGCTGCTTTGTGCCTTTCCTCCCCGTCATCCCCTGCATGTTATCCGTTAGACCCTATGTATGAAACCTTGTGGTCACAAGATAGCTGTCAAAGTGCCAGGCATCAAATTTATTTTCCCAGGAAGTAGAATCGGAAGCAAGTGGTCAAGTGTGGCCTGGTCTCATGCGATGGAATGGAGAACCGGGAGCCCCCAGGCCCAGGCAGCTCCCTCTCTGCAGACTGACTTCCATCTCCTCGTGCCTGCTGCGCGTGCATAACTGTGCCTGTGGCTTCTGCTCCCTGGGACTCCCTGTCCTCACAACTGAGCTCTGCAGACACTGACTCAGCTGCTGGGTGTCCCACTTCTGAATTCTGGAGAAAAGAAGGTGATTGGCCCATGTGAGCACTGGTCCTGGGGCTGATTTTAGTTGGGTGGGGGGAGTGGAGTCAAGAGAGACTGATGTGGCAGCTGGGGCCTGCCCTTTCATCAGAGTATCACAGGCAGCTGCCAGATGTCTGAAACCCACAACAACATACCAACTTGGTTCTGTTATTAAAGTCTCTTGTGGATTGTGTCATGCACGGGGTCAGTATGTGTGTGGAGTAACTGCCAGGAACCGGATGTGAAACTCAACGCCAAGGATGCAAAAATGACAGCATGTGGTCCTTGTCTTTTTTTTTTTTTTTTTTTTGTACCAGGGATTGAACTCAGAGGCACTTAACTCCTGAGCCAGGTCCCCTCAGCCTTTTTTATATTTTACTTAGAGACAGGATCTTACTAAGTTGCTTAGAGCCTCGCTAATTTACTGAGGCTGGCTTTGAACTTGTGATCCTCCTGCCTCAGCCTCCTGAGCCACTAGGATTACAGGCGTGCACCACTGAGCCCAGCCATGGTCCTTATCTTAATGAGACACAGGGAGGTAGGAGAACAGGCCCAAACACCATTGTAGAAATGTGACATGGGCCCTGCTGGATGGAGGAGGCACCGAGGCTGCAAACCCAGAAGCTCTAAAACCTCATGAAACATCTTCTGACCCCGCAAAATGGCTTCCCTGTGGTCGCTTACTACCTTCTACCCTTGAGCACCTTAGACATCACATAAAACCATCCTTGATTAGTCAAGGATATTACAGGATGAGCTCCTTCATACGCCCCACCGCCCGTGCCAGAGAACAGAGCACTTCCTTTTCTCTTATCTTTTTTGAACCCAAGGGTGCTCTACCTACGCGCTACATCCCAGTTCCCTCTTATTTTTTATTCTTGGCTTTGCTAAGTTGCTGAGGCTGGCCTTGATCTTGTGATCCTCCTGCCTCAGCCTCCCGAGTGGCTGGGATTATAGGTGTGCTCGACCGTGCAGGCTGAACAGTGTGCTTTCCAGATCTATCAGTAAGAACATAATTCCACGCCCAATAGCATCAAAGAGGATAGCAAATGTAACAAAAGGATTGGAAGACATGCCAACTACAAAATGCTGCTGAAAGAAACATCGAAAAAATGGATAGATATTCTCTGTTCACACATGAGAAGACTGAAAAGTTTTAAGATATCAATCAACATTCATTGAATTTTCTATAGCTTCAACACAATCAAAATCTTAGCTGGTGTTTTTACAGAAATTGGCAAGCTGATTCTACAACTCACATAACTATGCTGAAGACCCATAATAACCACAAAGAAAAGAAAAGGGAAACGAGAAGGAAGGAAAGGGAAGGAGAAGAAAAAGGAAAAAAAAAAACTTGAAAAAGAACAAAGCTAGAGGACTCGTACTCCCCAATTTTAAAATGCATTACAAAGCTACAGTTAGCAAGGCAGTGTGGTACACAGGGAAGCTGGATAGAACTCAGAGTCCCCAGAAAAACCTATACATTTATGGTCAACTAGTTTTCAACCAAGGTGTTAAGACAATGAAGAAGGAATAATCTTTTAAAAATTCATCAAGCTACTAACAATCCCTGAAAGATCACCTTAAGGGAAAGAGAGGAGTTTTAGGTAAACTACAGAAATCCACGTTGACACAATCTCTAGGACCTCGTAGGTTACAGAATTCCTTCATGCTCCTTCCTATTCTGCATTTTAGGACAGAATCATGAGGAAGCCATTATTTCCAAGAAGTTCTTACCACTTACAAAACAAAACCCAGAACAGAACAGGAGGGTCACCTGGGTGTGAACGTGGACTTTGCTGGCCTCATACATGGCATGCTGGCCCTCGAGCGCTGTGATGGACCAGGTAGCCTTGAATAGTCGGGGTCACTTTCCCTGAAGAATTTCAACTTGGGGAAAGAAATCGCTTAAGTTCTGAATCTCATTCTAAGTGCCATGGAGCGCCCTTTCCTGGGGAGTCTTGCTGGAGTCCCCTAGTCTTGTCCCCAAATGTGGTTCTGAGGAGGGGAGATTTACTTCCTTTTCAGTGTGTTTGCTGAGAGAGTTGGGCAAGAGGCCCAGCCAACCAATGCCTCCGTAACTGTGGGGGTTTTGTTTTGTTTTGTGGTGCTGGGGATTGAACCCAGGGCCTCATGCAGGCTAGGCAGGTGCCCTACCACTGATCTATGTCCCCAGTAACTGTCCATGTTCTCCTCAACTTGGAATTCACTGTTGTGTGCTGGTTGAAAGTGAGATACCAGAGCCATAGTTTGGGGGCCTGAATCTTCCTTCTTCTCCTTCCCAGCTCTTGACCTTGAGCTCCTTCCTGGGCCTCGGTCTCTAACCTATGAAGTGGGGATATGAGCTACCCACGGGGCATCTGTGAGGATTGAAGAATAATGGGCACAGGAGCTGAGCACAGAGACTGCCACCCAGTCAGGAGGCAGTAGGTTTCAGCTATTGAAATAAAAATCACTGTCGTTAGGATAGAGCTCCTAGATCTTGGTGGTCTCACCCAATTCGGCTTAGGATTGTCCAGCATCATGGCAGATGCCTCATGCAGAACCCCGTGAAATGACATGGGAAGGGACTGGTGCTGATGGCATGGGCAGAGCCTGGGGTAGCATCCCATGGACCAGCGGAGACCTCCTTGCAACACACAGGGTACCGCTGGTCCAAGATGCCCGAAGCTTCCTAGGCCCTGGGCTTTCCCACAGACCCAGACAGGTGAAAGTTCAACCTCTGAGGTGGACGCAGGTAATTAGGGAAGAAGATGCTGAGGGTCTCTGTGATGGTTGGTTTTAGGAATCAACAGGACTGGATTAAGAAATACCTAGAGCGCAGGGTGTTTCCAGAGGAGACCAAGGTGTGAGGTGTTGGACTCAGTGGGGAAGGGCGGCCCTCAGCGAGACAGGCACCATGCAGTACAGTGGCGCCTGAGAGAACAAGAGGCAGGGGAAATGTACGCAAGCGTTCTCTCTCTCTCTCTCTCTCTCTCTCGGGGCTGGGAAGCTCTTCTGCTCTGGGACATCAGAACCCCAGGCTTTCAGGCCTTTGAACTCTAGATTGACACCAGTTGTCCCCAGTGTCTCAGACCTCTGGCCACCGTCTTCCCTGGTGCTGAAGATCTCAGATTTGGACTGAGATGTGCTGTGAGTATCTGAGAGTTCTAGTGTGCAGGTCATGGGACGGCTCAGCCTCCAGAATCACAGGAGCCAATTCCCTTAACAAATCCCCTCTCATTTGTCTACCAACCCATCCATCCGTCCATCATCCATCCATCCATCCATCCATCCATCCGTCCATATATCTAATCCATTCATATCCATCATCCATCCATCATCTACACCCATCATCCATCCATTCTTCTATCCATCTATCCATCCATACATATCCATCATCTACCATCCACCCATCATCCATCCATCCATCATCCATCCATATCCATCATCCATCCGTTCATCTGTCTGTCCATCCACGCTTTGGGTTCTGTCCCTCTGGGGAACCCTGACTAATTTAGTCTCCTAGGTTCATTTAAGGCTTTCAAAAACATCCAGCAGCCTCTTTTTCATCTCAAGGGTGCTAGACCCAAGATAAACCAGAGGCTAAATCTGCACACAAACCAGGAAGGTGCTTGGTGAGCTTAGTCTATAAAGGGGTTCCTGGTGGGATATCCTCCCAGGGGCCCCCTTAGCGGTTTCCTGTGACCATGGGGCTACTCTGTGGACAGCTGATGCCAGTGGAGTCCTGTGCTACCAGTTCCCTGCTTCACCTCCTCTGGCTCCTCCACACCCCAGTCCTACCTAAACCTCCTACAACAACATCTGCTACATCATTTCTTCAAGTGGGTTCTCAGGACTCGTGCGTGTTCTGGATGTCATAGCCAGACGGGTTTAGGAGGCACTGGGTTAAACAGAGTCAGGTAAATGTTTTTGCAGCAGGACTTTTCCAGAAACTTTAATATGTTAGTGTTAATAATCAAGTGAATTCATCTCAGCTAGCCTCTATTTTCTGGGGTTCCAGGAAGCTGGTCTCTTTAGTTTTCTGAGCTGTCCTTTCTTCTGGGGACTGTGGAGTAATAGCCTCGAGTGTCCTTCACAGCATCAGACCCAGAGGCAGCAGAGAGGCCTCGGTGATCAGAGGGGGCACCCGTCCAGGCTGGACTCTCCTCCAGGACTGGACCTTGTGTTTTCCTGTCCCCTCGGCCTTCTTTGCTGCAAGAACCCAGGGTGGGACGAGCAGGTTGTAAGCGAGAGCCAATCCAGGAGCCGTGGTTAGTTGGCCAAGGGGAACAGGGGGTCCTGGGGAAGGTGGTCCTCAGAGGTGGGAGGGTGGCGTCCTGGACAACTTCCTTTCCTCCAGGATCTTGCCAAAGAGCTTGGCTGCCTCCAGGGCACAGCCCCAGTGAATGGTGATCCCTTGGCCTCCGTGGCCATAGTTGTGGATGACCTGGAGAGGCGAGAGGGAAGGTCACCAAGTGTGATGGGGGCGGGGGTTGTGTGCCACAGTTAAGGACACCCAAGAGCCCTGGCAGACCCGAGAGCTTTCTCAGGAGGCCTTGGCAAAGCCGACGTAGGAGCTTCTCCCGGGGCTTTGGTGGGATGCTGGGCTCCTGGGAAAGCAGAAGGGGGATCGATGCGGAGCTGCAGGTCGACCCCGACTTGTCTTCTGCTTAGAGGGTGGGCCTGCTTTGTACAGGAAAAGCAGAATCCCATCCAGACCTTGAGGCGCGAGATCTCCACATCCAAGTGTCGGAAGCCCCCTGAGTCAACATCTGCTCCCATCCTGCTCAGGCTGGATGAACCCTCCCCGTCGACAGACAAGCTCTTCTACCCACCACGAGAAAAAGCAGGGGTATGGGGTGATGTGCTGATCCCCTCAGGGGACCCAGGAAGGCCTCTGGGCCTTTTTCAGGATGAAAATCATCAACAGGAAATGAAACTCCATATCTGACTCCCCCCTCCACACACAGGACACACACAACACCTCTGTATATTCACAACCTCTCCGCAGACACACAAGCCTTTACACACACAAACCCCTACCCACTTCACCCCTCCATGCACACACGGAACCCTCTGTACCTGCAGACGCACACACACGTGACCCCTCCATCTGTGTATCTACACACGTGACCCTCGACACGCACACGACCCTGCAGGCACAGGCACACGCTGTATGCCTGGGGTGGGATGCCCCTGCTCAGGACCGTCCCTTCAGCTTGGGACAACCCCCATGGTTTCATTAAACCCTCCCTGTGACAGTGAGACCCCAGAGAGCGGACAGAGCAACAACAAAATGGATATCGGGAGATGTCCCTGGAGTCGAGTTCAAAACACACGCAGCCGGGCTCCTCACCAGCCGTCGGACAGGGTCAGGAGGCTGTACCTCCCAGAGCTCCAATTGCCTCATCTCAAGCACGGGGCAAACTGTCCCAATCCCAGAGGACACCAGCTGGCCTCTGGGGACTGACACCTGTTCTGCTCAGCCACAGACTCCAGTAAGCCAAGGCGCTGCCATCGAGGAAGCCCGTACAGGCCTTCAACCATTCTAAGCCTCAGTGTCCCCATTATAGACAGAGGGATGTCCCCACCATGCCCCTGACCTCAGGCCGTGGGGGACTTTTCCCTGGAAACAACAGAGTTGTCTTAGGAGCCCGAGGGCGGCTGTCCCTACCAGGAGCGCACACTGTACCTCTGTGTCTGCAGGTCCCCCAGGGAGCCGGTCCCTCTCTAGCCGAATCCGGGGCCGCGCAGGCCGGAAGCCAGCACGCACACCGACGAGTCTCGCATTCTGGAAGGAAAAGTGCCAGCTGCTCACCTCTGCCTGGTTTCCTGTCCTGCTGCCATTGTTAGGCCACCTAACGAACCTCCACTGCCATCATCGCCACCGTCACTATCGCTGCGACCACTGTGCCAACTCTCTCACTCCATCTCCATTCAGTGCCACCGTCACCACCAAGCACTGCCCTGATATCACCCACGGTCCCCACTTCGTCAACATCGTCATCACCGTTCTTTGCATTTTCATCCCTATCAACACCCACCGCCACCTCCATCCCCATCTTCCTCACTGTCAGCCCTTGTCACCACTAGCAGGCAATGGGACAACTGAGCTTGCTGTAACAGGCCCGTCTGCTCCTTGTGCAGACGGACGAGGTCACTTGGGCAGTGTCCCCTTAGGAGGAGACAGTTCTCAGCCACAGCCATTTGGACTTCATGGGCCTGAAGCCAGGACTTCCCTAGACATCGTCAAATCCTGGTGCGTCCCACAGTCCCTTGCTGAACTCATCTGTCCACTTGTCCTGCCCCTTGTTCCAGGGGTGCTGTCTTCCCATCTTCCTCTTATTATTATTCTCATTATTTATCTATTTATTTGGGGGGGTACGGGGTATTGAGCCCAGGGTGCTTTACCACTGAGCCACGTCCCCAGCCCTTTTTTCTTTTGAGACAGGGTCTAGCTAAGTTGCTTAGGGCCTCGCTAATTGCTGAGGCTGGCTTTGAACTGGCAATCCTCCTGCCTCAGCCTCCCAAGTCACTGGGATTCCAGGCGTGCGCCACCCGCCTGGCTCTCTTCCCGTCTCCGAGTGTCCTAGTAACCAGGAGCCTGGTCTAGGGCACCGAGGCCCGTCCCCACCTGACCTTCAGCGTGGGCTCCAGTCTGCAGCAGCCTTCCCAAATGGTGTCATGGTCCTGGGTATCGATCAGCTCCGTCCAGTTCCCCAGCTGGAAGGTGCCGCCCAGAGTGACCGTCTGGCTCCTGGATTAAAATGAGAGGGAGTGGGGGACACGGAGCCTTCGAGGTGCGTGCGGAGCATCATGAGCTTCCTCCTCCTGCCCTCGTTACTGAGTCACTACCACCATCGTCACCACCATCGTCACCACCCAAATCTCCACGGTCATCATCATCAACCCCATTCAGTGCTGTGCCCACACCATCACCGACACCATGAGCACTGCCTTGCAATTGTCATTTCTGTCCCTTGTCCACATCATTGCTGGTTGTCATCTCCATCAGCACGCACTCATTCCCGCACGCGATCACCACCACTCACAGGACTGATGTCCTCGTCAATACCACGCTACTCCCCGTCACCCCACGATCGTCACCGCTCCACCATCCCGACGCCAAGCAACACAACACTCCATCAGCACTGCCTCTCCCACCAGGATGACGCTGTCACGCCATGCCACTACCAAAAAGTGTCATTCCATCACGCGGCCACCGTCTTCACTAACATCGTCCCCTCCATCCTGGATGCTGTCGTTGCAATCAACCCCAGTCACCCTCCTCCCGTTTTCAGTATTGCCCATTTACACCCCTCCTGATCCCACTATCATCGTATCCAGCACCTTGGTCCCTGCCTCGCCACTAGGGTCATCCAAAGAACCCTGGAAAGAGCCGGACGGAGTGAGGCCAAGCCCTGCCTTCCAGGGGTTTGATTGCCAGGTCTCTCTCACAGGGCACTGCCCCACTCAGCAAGGGGCCGGGGCAGGCAGGGGGACATAGAGAGGGCACAAGGCGCCTCCTCCGCCCTAGAGCAGGCGGATCATTACCCTGGGATGATGTACGGGGTCTTGTAGATGCCTCTCTCTGGGTCATGGGTGATAATGAAGTGCTTCATCCATGGGGCTTCCACCTGGTAATTCGGAACAGAGACATCTTGTCAGGGGAGCAGGATCAAAGGGCTTTCTTGAATGGCTTCTGGCTAAGACAGAAGTTCCAACTAGAGTAGCTGGGCTGGTCCCACCCCCTCCACAAACCTCCTGGCCCCAGGCTGCACCTAACTGCTTGTCCCTTGCAGCAGACCCACCCTGATTGACAGCTGCCCCTGCTCCCTAAAGTGTGCTCACCTGTGTGTCGAGGAAGAGCCTTGTCACCCAAAGAACATACACTCCAACACCCACGAATGTACACTCTGCACTTACACCCAGGCAGCCCGCACACAGGGAGAGGCAGCTTGAGACGATGACCAGTCCCTGGGCTCTTAATCCAGGTGGCCTGAGTTCTAATCCCAGTTCCACCTCTCATTTACCACATGTGAACTCAGGCCTGCACTTGTCCCCTCTCTGCCTCAGCTGCTGCTTCTGTAAGATGGCCACGGTGCTATGGTAGCACCCATCTCAAAGGGTGGTGGTAAGGACTAAACTAAGCACTGTGCTTAGATCTATGCCTGGCACTTAGTATGCACTGCATAACTATTTGCTATTTTTATTACAATACAGGCATAAGCAGCTGTTCCTACAAACATATCCACAAATTGTTTGCCATGAAGAAGAATTCATCCATTGGGCACACCTGTGGTGCATGCCTATGATCCCAGCAATTTAGGGGGCTGAGGCAGGAGGATCACAAGTTGGAGGCCAGCCTCAGCAAATTAGTGAGACCCTGAGAGACTTATCAAAATTTTCTCTCTCAGAATAAAAAGGGCTTGTGTACAGCTCAGTGGTAGAGCACCCCTGAGTTCAATCCTTAGCGGAGGAGGAGGAGGAGGAGGAGGAAAGAAAGAGAAATCCCAAAAGAGCATTCAGGGTGGACAAGGCAGGATGGCCCTTCTCCTTTACCATGCCAGTTCCCCAAAGTCTGGGTCACTCTGGCGCACATTCCCCACTCTTCCACTAGCTGCGGAGAGGAAATAAGCATGCACAACAATCCTCCCGTCAGCGGAAGCTGGGCGTCTCACTCTCACACTCACCTGAATGACCTGCCCCCGGCCTGGCTGCAGCAGGGGGTCTGGCTGCAGCGCCCCAGCCCACACCCCCGTGCAGTTGATGATCACATCCACGCCTCCTCTTGCCACCTGGCAGCAACCAACAGGTTGGGGGGGTGATGAGGACCCTGGCATCCCTGTCTCTGCCTTCCTCCCTCCTCCTACCCACAGCTGGGGGGACCAGAGGGAAGTGCCCCAGCATCTCCTTTCTGCCATTTACCCACAGTGTGACCTCAGAAATGTCCCTTTATCACAGCCGCCCCCATTACAGAATGGGGCCGGCGTCACCAGATATCAGGCTGCCGAGATCCCGGGCAGCTCTGTGTATAAAGGAGCTGGGCACCGGGGGCTGTGGAGTGGGGAGACCTCTGGGAACCCTGAAGGAAGGCAGAAGGAAGCCAATGTCCCCCTTCTCCTCTGACTCCTTCCCATCTGGCCTTCTATGGCGCAGAAAGATGCTAGAAACCCCAGCTCTGTGGGTGTCCGGGCCACTCGTCCACTCAAGGACACAGTGCAATGAGCACCCCAGCACCCCAGCTCAGCCCTGATCATGGATCGCAAGGGTCCATCAGGGCCCAGCCCAGAGCAGGTAGGTCCTCACTACAGAACGCAAGTACTGAGTACTAGTGCTCAGTCCTAGTAACTGCGTGTACTAAGCACCTTTCACGTGCCAGGTGTTGAGTGCCAGGGCTGAGTGGAGTCGCCCAGCACTCTTGGTGCTCAGTCGTTGCCTGGTGATGGTGGCTGCTTCCACTGTCATCCACGGTGGTGCTGTTCCTTTGATCCAGGTCCCAGCTGAGGGCCTGGACTATTCAGAAACATCCACCTCAGTGACGTAGGAAGCACCCAGGTGCCTGGACGTGGAAGGGGAGGGCAGCTGATCCCACTCTAGCCCTGAAGCTCACTGAGGCTCGGCCTCATGGATTCCACTGTTCTTTATTCCTGCCCCTAATGTCCGGGCAGATTCCTCCTAGAATCTCAAAAGGCCTGAGTCCTCCTGGGGTCCAGAGAAGGACTAGCGTTGGGGACAGGCCTCAGGGGACTCTGGGAGCCCCCAGCCCAGCCGCAGGAAGCAGAGGCCTCTTCCCTCCCACACCCACCCATCCCCCCCACGGCTCACCTCCTCCAAAGACGCCACCTTCCGCAGGAAGAACTGCACGCCCCTCTCAGTCAACCTGGACGACCACACGGGTCAGAAACACCTAGAATTCAGTCCTCTGCCCGGCCTCCCAGAGGGTGGGGTGGGAACATCTCTGTGGACACGAGTCCCACCGGGGGCTCTTTGAGAATAGGGCCAATTGGATCGCCAGCACCTTGAGGGACAAGGGGGCCAGGAATTGTCCCCTGGGAAACAAGGTCTTGTGACATGGCCCAAGTCCCTGGCTGGGTGGATGGCGGAGGGAGAAGCGTCTTCCTGAAGGTTCTGTGGTGCGTCAGGCAGTGAGGGGCTGGGCTCGGGCTCCTCCCTCCCTTGCTCTCTGCCGGCCCTCATGGCTGGGTAACATCAGGGGGATGAGATCTGGGGTGGACGAGGGGCAGAGTCGGGCCCATGCCAAATGCCCCTTTGACAAAAGCAGGACACAAGGAGGGAGGAGGCTGGGGACACCCACTCCTCCCTTGAAATGTCCCAGAGGAGGTCTGGGATGTGGCCCAGTGGCAGAGCGGTGGCCTGGCATGTGTGAGGCCCTGGGTTCAAGGCCCAGCAATATACAACACAAGAAAAATGTCCCCGAGGAAAAATATCTGTCACTACTAGAAGTAAAGATATCCAAAGAATAGGACGTAAACCATCTTTAAGCTGAAGGATGACCTTGGGATGATTTCATCTGCATATTTCCTTCAAGATAGGAAAAATTGGGGCTGAGGTTGTGGCTCACAGGTAGAGACTTGCCTCACACAAGTGAGTTCCCGGGTTCAATCCTCAGCACCACAAAAAAATAAATAAATAAATAAAATAAGCTAAAAATAAAGACATAGAGCTACATTGTAGCAACAGATCACTTTTTAAAAAAAGGAAAAATTGGAAGCATTTTCTTCTGGAAGAGGCTGAATGGGGATCATAAGTGTCCCCAGGTTAGGAGAAGTGACCATGTCAATGGTCCCCAAGACTGGCTGGTAACCAGAATCATCTTTCCTGTTTTGGTACTTGGGATTGGACCCAGGGGTGTTCTACCACTGAGCTACATCCGTAACCCTTGTTAATTTTTATTTTAGGGTAGGGCCTCACTACATTGCTGCAATCTCCTTGCCTCAGCCTCTGGAGTTGCTGAGATTACAGGTGTGCCCCACCACACCCGGCCCAGGGAAATTCGTGAAATAAATTCTGAACCCCACTCCAGGGTTTCTGATTCAATGAGTGTAAAGTAGGATCCTGAAATGTATATTTTTAGGAATGTCCCCCAATTATTTGGTACAAGTCACCATTCATTCCAGAATTTAAAAAAAAAACTCAGTAAAATAGTAAACTATAGGGAATACATGAAATCTTTCTTAATATGAATGTATGTGAATATAAATGTGGATGTATTCCTCAAGCGAGTGTTTGCTAGTTTGGAACACCATGAGATTGCTATTAACATCAGGAAAGAAACAGGGATATCCATTATTCCATTATTACCCATATTAGTTAACATTCTAGAGACACCCACCAAAGCTGAGAGGAGAGACAGGGAGAGAGAGAGAGAAGGTGTCTTAGGTTGTAAATATAGTCATGCATGGTGGCACACACATGTCAACCCTGCCTTGAGAGGCTAAGGCAGGAGGACCACAAGTTCAAGGATAGCCTCAGCAATTTAGTGAAACCCTCATGGAGACCCTGTCTTGAAATTTTAAAAAGGAAGAAAGAAGGAACTGAAAATGTAGCTCAGTGGTAGTGTCCCTGGGCTCAAATTCTCTGTATTAAAAAAAAAAAAAGAAAAAGAAATAAAAATGGTGTCAATATACCTGGGAAACGTAGGAGAATGCACTAGAACTTTCTGTGAAGTTGTTAATAAATAAATGCTTTAACAAGCCGCCCGGGTGTTTCCAGTGCCCAGCCAGGTGCAGAGCCACGGTCTCAAGGACAGTGGTGATCAGAACCAAGGACAGCGCCCACACCTGGCCTAAGGGTTTTCTTCAGCTGGGGACTGGGCGCTACCTCCAGGAACCCCATGACACTGCTGTCCCCCAGCAGGGTCCCTGGCAGGCGCCCGCGGGCCTGAGGTCTGAACTTACCTTTCCGTCAGCCACTTGAGGTAGGTCCTGCCATCCAGGATCAGGCTGGTGTTGAACCAGCCGTAGCTGGAGTCCCGGCCAAAGGAAACAGCAAGTCAGAGCCCCAGTTAGACTGGAAGGCTGACCAGTGGAGGTGGGGTCAGTATTGTTCTGTGGGTCCCCAAGAATCACAGGGTGACATTCATGGGGCTGGGGGAGGGAGCGATTTTGAGCTCAATGAAAAGAGCTATTTTCTTTCAGAAAAAGCCATCCCTGACGTTGGAATATAAAAATGGAGATGGGATGTGCCATTGGTAGAGGGGATTCAGGCACAGGGTGGGGTGAGGAGAGGATCCGGAGGCAGTGGGATTGGAGGCCTCTGTGAAGGAGCTGGACGGAGCATCAGGAGACCAGGGCACCACAGGGACCAGGGGAGGACGGGCCACAGAAAGCTGGGCGCCTCTCTCTGCTGCCCACAGGATGGTTCTGTGTGGATTCCGCGGTGCCTTGGCCCCGCTGCCCCTGAGGGTACCCTTACCCATAATCAGGGAACATGTCCAGCTCTCTGGGGGTCAGCTTCCGAAATCCCAGAACTATGTCTTTCCAGACAGGGTCCTTAAGAGCAGGAGAGAAGAGGGACAAGGATTGGTGACAGTCGGTAAGAAAGAAATAACAAAGACTTAGACGGCCCTGTGTGCAAGGCTGGGTCCCAGGAGTTTCCCGCGTAGAGATCCAGTTCATCTTTACAACCAGCCACGAAGGTGGGGTGAGGGTCCAGAGGTGGTGTCCTCTCAAAGCTCAGGTTTGGAGGAGAAATGATGGGGTCCCAGCCTTAACCTAACCAGTGAGTCATCCCTGATGGAGTTACTCAGTGGTGGCTAGTGGCAGGTGGGGTGTGGCTGGGGCAGTGATTCACGGGGGGCGTGGCTATGGGCAATATATATTGTATCTGGAAAGTGGAATCCTTCTCTCCCTGTTTCCTGACGATCACCTGCGTTGCTTCCTCGACCATGATGTCCTGCTACACCTCGAGCCCAGAGGAATGCAGCCTGCTGTCTACCGAGACCTCTGAACCCGTAAGTCCCCCCAAGTCAACTTTCCTGCTCTGCCATTACTCTGGTTGGGTCTTTTAGTCACAGCCGTGGGAAAGCTGGATGCTCTTCTTATCCCACAGAGGGACAGATGGAGGCTCAGAGCTCGTCTAGGCTCACACAGGTGGTAAGTGGTGAAGCTGAGACCTCAGCCCACACAATTATTTGACTCTGGAGTTCAGGTTCTCGCTTTTGGGGCTGCGGGTACCAGGGATGGAACTCGGGGGCACTTGACCACGGAGCCACATCCCCAGCCCTATTTTTTGGTATTTGATTTAGAGACAGAGTCTCGCTGAGTTGCTCAGGGCCTCACTAAGTTGCTGAGGCCGGCTTTGAATGCGCCATCCTCCTGCCTCAGCCTCCTGGGCCTCTGGGATGACAGGTGTGTGCCACTGCACCCGGAAATTGTTCTGTTTGTTGTTGATGTTGTTTTGTTTTTGGTGTGTGTGGTGCTGGGGACTGAACCCAGGGCCTTGTGCATTTGAGGCAAGCGCTCTACCCACCAAGCCGTTATCCAGAGCCCACAGTCAGGTTCTTAACCACTCTACTCAGGGTAAGGGTGAGGCTGGAGGTGAGTGATAGGGGAGAGGTCATAAATGGGGGAGAATCAGGGGCACCGGTGACAGTCACAGAGGGTGAGAGTAGAAGGCAGAGGGCACATGGGACCAGGCCTCCTGGGTGGAAACCCCAGATTTGCCACCTTATCTCTCGAATGACTGGAGACTCCGTTTTCTTGTTTGGGACAATCATTTCTCTTGGCCCCATGACAGGAAAGAGATAGCGCAAGGCCAATTATCCTAGCACCAGAGATAAGGAGGCGAATGATCCGTAGCACAGACTTGGAGAATGAGTAACGAGGGAGCTAGCTCCCAGGGCTGGGCCTGAGCCACCCCACCCTCTCCAAACAGCCCGAGCCCATCCTGAACGGCTTTGCTGTCCCAATGTGGGCATCCCGAGGTCACAGACCCCCTGGGTTCAAACCCCAGCACTCTCTCTCTCAAAAGCTCTGTGGCTCCGGGTGAATCACTCCATTTCTCTGAGCCTCGGTTCTCCTGTCTGCAGTTGACTCCCCATTATTATAAAAATTAAAGGAGCCACTGGTTGTCAAAGAGTTAGGACAGGGCCTGGCGCCGATTTTGCTATCACATCGTAAAGACCCTGGACTTCAGGGGACACACGACATCATGACTTTGGAACATGTAAATTTTGCCCATACCAATCAAAGGCTAGATCCGCCCGTTCATCAGAGATTTGGGGTATCTGCCAATTTAATAACAAAATTTGGAATAAAAGTTTTACATGTACATATATAAATTATATATTATATATAATACACACACATGTACACATACACATGTCTCTCCTCCCTCCCTCCTTCCTTTCTTACATTCTGTCTGTGCCAGGCTGGCCCCAAACTCCCAGGCTCCACCAGTCCTCCTGCCTCAGCCTCCTGAGTAGCTAGAATGATAGGCATGTGCCCTTGAAGCCTGTTAGATTCTGTCTGTGCTTTTTAAAAAGCATTTTTAGAGACAGGCACAGTGGCACATGCCTGAGGTTCATGCTACCTGGGAGGCTGAGGCAGGAAAATCACTTGAGCCCAGGGATTTGAGGCCAGCCTGGGCAGCAGAGCCAGACTCCATTGCTCTCCCCCCACCACCCCCCAATTTTTTTTTTTATTATGAATTAAAATAAAGTGGACACAGCAGCTTGAACCCAAGACTGCTGCCTTGACTCAGCCTCCTGGAATCTGAAGTTAGGACTCCTCACTCACCGGAACAGCTTCACGGAAGAGGTTGTAGCCCGAGATTAAGGCCAGGCCCATTTTGTCGGCAGTGGGAGAATGGACTTGACTCAGGAGGTAGTCAAAGGTCTGCTGGTTCCAGTCCCTGCAAGGGTCACCCACAGGAGTGTCACCTGATGTCCTGAGCTGGGCAGTAATTCTCAGAGGTCAGCTGGGCGTATGATGAGGTGGTGGAGAGGCATCCAAAATCCAGACACCTACTAGGTACAAGCCTGCGCTGCTCCAATGTCTACGCTTCTTCCGATATTTCCCCCACTAATGGGATGGAGTCTCCCTCTCTTTTTTTAGTACCAGGGATTAAACCCAGGGGCGCTTAACCACTGAGCCACATCCCAGCCCTTTCTGTTTTATTTTAAGACAGGGTCTCACTAAGTTGCTCAGGGACTCGCCAAGTTAGAGCCTGGCTTTGACCTGGCAATCCTCCTGCCTCAGCCTCCAGAGCCGCTGGGATGACAGGCTGAGCCTCCACTCCATTAAGGGACAGAGAAGAGGCAGGAAGGGGATGGGCATCTCTGCCTGGGGCTCACAGAGCTGATGATTTCCGATGAAGGAGGCTCTGACCTGGTTTGGGGGGACGATGATACAGACTGGCCGCGAGACCCCTGCCCATTGTAAACCTTGAGGGCAGACATCAGCTTGCTATCCCCACGTGCCTTCTCTCCGAACCCTGTGCACACAGCCCAACTACACTTCTACTATACCCAAAGGACTTAAAAACACCGTACTCCAGGGACACAGCCATATCCATGTTTATAGCAGCAAAATTCACAATAGCTAAACTGTGGAGCCAACTTAGATGTCCTTCAGTGGATGATTGGACAAAGAAAGTGTGGCTTTATACACCATGGAATATTACTCAGCCTTAAAGAAGAATGAAATTATGGCATTTGCAGGTAAATGGATAAAGCTGGAGACTATCATGCTAAGTGGAGTTAGCCAATCCCCCCCCAAAAAAAAAAAACGAATGCCGAACATCTTCTTTGATATAAGGAGGCCATTCATAGTGGGGTTGGGAGGGGGAGCATGGGAGGAATAGATGAACTCTAGATAGGGCAGAGGGGTGGGAGGGGGCATGGGGGTAAAAAAGATGGTGGAATGAGAAGGACATCATTACCCTAAGTACATGTATGAAGACACAAATGGTGTGAATATACTTTGTATATAAGCAGAGATGTGAAAAATTGTCGTCTACATGTACAATATGAAATGTAATGCATTCTGCTGTCGTATAGAACAAATTAGAATAAGAAATAAATTTTAAAAATCAACTACAGCTTCTAGATTCACTTGCGTGTACTGGGGCCATGTGACTGTGTGTTGGCTGGAGACTGCACAACACTGGCCCATGAGAATGGTAACATTGGAGGTCACCTTGGCAGTGACCTTAGAAGCCCTTAGAAGGGCCATGTCAGTGGTTGGCAAAGCCATGAGAGGGAGGGAGCTCTTGAATTGCTGCCCACTGACCAGGAACACTGGTTTTGGAATCCACAAGAGAATATTTTATTGGTTTGCTTGAGACATTATTCACTGCAGGGGGAAGGGTTGTCCACTTGTTGAAGCAGGTGGTAGTATTTTGTTTGTTTGTTTGTTTTGTGGTGCTGGGGATTGAACCCAGGGCCTTGTGCATGTGAGGCAAGCACTCTACCAACTGAGCCACATCCCCAGCCCATAGACAGTACTTTCTAAATAGATATAAAGACCTTTGCAACTCCTCCTTCTCCCTCTTCTGTGTTAGAGATTGAACCCAGAGCACTGTACTGTTGAACCACATCTCTTTTTTATTTTGAGATAGGGTCCTGCTAAGTTGCTTAGGGCCTCACTAAGTTGCCGAGGCTGGCCTCGAACCTGTGATCCTCCTGCCTCAGCCTCCCGAGTTACTGGGATTACAGTCATGTGCCACAGTGCCCAGTTATGACCTTTGCATTGATCCACCTGCTCAGAAATTTTCTGGATTCGTCAATACATATGGTATTGACACTGACCCTACCTCAGGAACGAATGGAGACAAAACCTCCGAGCACACAGTATGTGGTTTAGAGTAGAGGGAATATCCTTGAGTATTTCCTTTCCTTTTCTTTTCCTTTTTTTTTTTTTTTTTTTTTTAACTGAGATTGAACCCAGGAGCACTTCACCACTGTGCCACATCCCCAGCTCTTTTTAGTTTTAATTTTGAGACAGGGCCTCACTAAGTTTCAGAGGCTGGCCTCCAACTTATGATCCTCCTCTCTCGGCCTCTCAAGATGCTAGGATTATGGGCAAGCGCTACAGCACCTGGCTCTTTCTTTCTTTCTTTCTTTGAGCACACGAGAGAGGGTCTCATTATATTTCCCAGGCTGGTCTCAAACTCCTTGATTCAACTCTCCTCTGTCCTTTGCCTCAGAATACGTGGGTTTGCCCAGTTCATAGGTATTTTCCTTATGTCATGCCGGATCAGAGCTTCCAAGGGTACTTATTCTCGGTGATGGGCACCCTGACAGGGAGTGCCCTCGCTGCAGACTCACCCCGTGGCCACCCTCTGGGATCCTCACTCACATTTCCCGGGGGTCTTCGGGCGGGGAGATGTAGGGCTGGATGAGCCCGGCTGCCACGTCGGTGGTGGTGTGCGGGGTGAAGCGGTCCGCGTAGACCTTCATGTCCAGCGGCTGCAGGTCCGAGTGGTAGCGCTGGTGGATGCAGAGGGCGGTGGAGAGCCCGATGACCCCGGCGCCGATCACCACCACGCGCATCGTGCCGCCTGCGAGAAGGAAGGGTGAGGCTCGCCATCCTCGCCCCCATCTCCGCCGCTATCACTGCGATCGCAGTCTCCTGGAGGCCCGGAAGGCACCAGGCGCCACCAAGCCCTTTGCTTTGTCTGGTGCTGGGGATTGAACCCAGGGGCACGTCACCCCTGAGCCCCAGTCCTTTTGAGTTATTTATTATTTTATTTTGAGACAGAGTCTTGCTTACTTGCTGAGGCTGGCCTCAAACTCACAATCCTCCTGCCTCAGCCTCCTGAGTCCCTGGGGTTACAGGCCTGCGCCACCCGTGTGACTCAGGCCTGCCAAGCCCTAATATCCTCAGTAATCAAGACCCAAAGATGCACAATGATCAATTTTCATATTTTTCAAGTGGAAACACTGAGGCGTGGAGGGGAAGGGCCTTGCCCGAGGTCAAAGAGCCGGAAAGTGGTGGGGCTTTCTCTGGGAAGCCTGCCAGGTGTCCCATCCCTTGGCTGGGAATACAAAGGGCCTGGCAGAGCCCCTGGATGACAGTGTCCTGGGTGGCCTAGAGGTTAGCGCAGTGGGGTCTGGCTTCAAGTCTTCGGCCTCAGCTCTGCCACCTACCTGCCTCTAACCCCAGGCAAGCTGCTCCGTGGGCTTCCTTCAAGTTTCAGTCATCCGTACCTCAGATGAGACTTTGGTGCCCAGCGCAGAAGTGATTTAGTGACCTTCGTGAAGCACCTGCCACGCACCAGCCCCCGGCGCTGAGGGTTTCACATGCACCGTGTCACCTGAGCTTCCCAACAGTCTCCTGAGATGGAGGCTGTTGCTATTTAGTCCCATTTTACAGATGAGGAAACGGAGGCACAGGAGGAGGAAGTGACTCACCTGGAGTCACACAGCCAAGGAGTGGTGTTGCTGGGGTTGGAGTCCCACCCGAGTGAACACCGGCTGTGCGCATGCGCGGCTCTGAGTCCCTCAGTCCAGGGTCGGACTGGCCTGAGACTCAGCCTGACTCGCGGTGCTTGGCCGGCTGGCCCCGCTGAAGTTTAGCTTTTGACCTTGAACTGCTCTGTCAGCTTCTGCTGAGGCAGAACAAGAGGACTGTTTGTGTTCGGGAGGGCCAGAGTCCACTCTCCCTCTCTTTCTTCCCAACTGGCCTCCTGGGGTCCTTGGCTCTGGCCGCTCAGCCTGTGGCCCTGAATAGCGGGACGTTCCCAATATGGCCTAGTTTTGTAAAAGAGGGGAAATGACTCCAACCCGCAAGAACTGGACTCCTGCGGGCTGTCAGAAGCCAAATTGGAGATAGAATCAACAAAGAGAGAGGAGTCATTCTAGACCCTTCTCCCTCCAGCTTGGAGTCTGAGCTTGGATACAGGGGCTGATGGTGGGGGACAGACCTCATCACGGTGGCTGTGCCTCCCCTGCACCCTCTTTTCCTCAGACATGGCTGACCTCATCTGCAAAATAAGGGTGACCCCGATCTCCCGGGTTGCGCTGAGGGTTAATCGGGAACCTCTGCAGAAGTTCTAGGTATGGTGCCTGACACACTGAGTAGGCCCTAGCACAGAGCAGGTGCTCTCTGTCCCCTAGCCCTGTGACAACCACAGGGGAAAGAAAACATTGGCCATAGAGGAGGCCAGAGGAAGAAAGAGGCATCAGACTTGGCTTCACTTCCAGCCTGCTGTGTCACTTGCTGTGTCACCTGTGGTGTCGCCTGCTGAGTTACCTTTGCCAAGTTCCTCCCCCTTTCTGGGCCTTCTGACCATTCCTCCGGAATCGCTGGAGAGCTGACGGCTTGTGTACATTAATCACAAAAAGGCTCAGGAGTAGAGGAACTTTCTTTCAATTTCCAAATTCCCTGTGATAACACGGAGGTTGGGGGAAGGGCAGGTGGCCGTAACAACTCAGAGTGATGGTCAGACACCTCCAGGTTTGCAGCCCGGCCCTGCCACACACCCGCTATCGGATCTTGGGCAAGTCACCTGACGGGGTGAGAGTGAGCAACCTCTTGGGTTTGCCCAGGACTCAGGTGTTCCCAGGATGCACACCTGCAGTGCTAAAGGCAGCAGAGTCCAGGGAGCCCTGGGTGAGCTGGGCTGGGATCCTAGGTCTGCTCTCTCTAGAGCTGCCCTTTCTCCATCTCGCTCTGCCTAGGAAATCAGCAAAGGGCTGAGAAAAAAGGGCTGTTTATAAAATAGGAACGTGGGGGGGGGGTGCTAGAGGAGGCTTGGGAGGCTCCTGGGAAATGAAGAGACTTTGGACTGAAGTAGGGCAAAGAGAAGAGAGAGGACCCAGAGCAACACCCGGATCAGGGGCAATACCATGGGCAGCTTCCAGAACCTTCTGGAAGAACAGGCCCAGGGTCAAGAGGGTCAAACACAGCGCAGGGTGGTTTTTCCAGTGCAAAACTTTAAAGATGAGCTCATCGAGCTTGTGCAGTTGGGGAAATGGAGGCCTACTACTATGTTTTCGGTTCCCTGCATCCTTAAAAAAAATTTTTTTTTCTTTTTTCTGGTACAGGGGATTGAACCCAGGGGCACTTAACCACTGAGTGCCACCCCCAGCCCTTTTTATATTTTTATTTAGAGACAGGTTCTCACAAAGTTGCTTAGTGTCTTGCTAAGTTGCTGAGGCTGCCCTTGAACTTCGATCCTCCTGCCTCAGCCTCCAGAGCCTCTGGGATGACAGGTGTGCGCCACGGCACCTGGCTTGTGCTAAGAATCTGAAGTGCCTTATCTAGTATGGTCCTTGTGACACATTCAGACAAGCGAGCTCACAGCCTGAGACACCCGGTTGGTGACAAGCCAGGCCAGCCTGACTCCCATCTTTGAGCACTATAACACGCTGCTGCTGCTGCGGGGCTGGCAAGTCTGGCCATTCAGAAAATCGCAAGGTGGAGCAGATCAGGAGAAACAGCTCATGTTTCAGAGTCCTGCATCTGCAAAACCCTCAAGTGCAACATTATGGGGTTTGTAGTGTGTCGGTGAGAATCAAAGACAAAACAGTCCCAGATCCCAAGGTAATTGTCTTTAGGAAGCAACGCACACCATGAGTCCAGTTTGAACCAGATGATAGCAGCCTCCAGCGTGGAGGGTGAATAGAAATGCCTGAGATTCTCATGAGACTTGGGACCCAGACTACAGGATCCGACAGACCTAGCCTCAGGTGAAACCCCAGGAAATGAACTTCTGGACTTGGTGCAGAGATCAGATATGAAGTCAACCATTTCTTGCTGTTTTGCTGGTGCTTTTTTAACAGTGTTGACTTTCTCCCCTATTTTATGCCAATTCCTTCAACTAGGAAAGTGAAGCAGCTGGAGTTATTTTGCGTGGTGTGTGTGTGTGTGTGTGTGTGTGTGTGTGTGTGTGCGCATGTGCACTTGATTATAAAGCCTGTGCAAAGACAGACCCATAGGAGAACCAACATAATTTGGATTCTACTTCTTGCCAGACACATGAAGACACAGTGCAGACCCAAGCCCCTTAATCCTCTCAACAACTCCAAGAGGTGGGTCGGGCTGGTGGTGCACACCTGTCATCCCATCAGCTGGGGAGGCTGAGGCGGGAGGATTTCGAGTTCAAAGCCAGCCTCAGCAACTTAGTGAGGCCCTAAGCAACTTAGTGAGACCCAGATTCTAAAAAATACATATAGAAAGGACTGGGGACGTGGCTTAGTATCATCTTGATTCTATAGGAGGGACAGAGATTCAGAGAGGGGAAGACATTCACCCAAGGTCACACCACCTGCGTGAAATGCATTCAGATCTGACCCAGATCTAGCTGGGCTTTCTGCCTGTGTCATAGAAATATTTAGGCAGCTGGCACTTGGCACTTTCTGCTTGCCTCTCAGTCTCGGCTTTGTTTGCAGAAGACCTCCCTTCTGTCCTAGGAAGCCCTCTGAGGCAGCTTCTGCCTTTGATGGCTACATGCTCATGAACATGAAAGATGGGTCCTATGAAGATCAGAGTCCCGGGTGAGGTATGCGAGTGAGCACGAGTCGGCTCTTCCAGGTTGGCCACGTGGCTGTGTCTTATGAGGTTGGTATTTTCAGAGTCTATCTTTAAAATGGAACCGAAGCTATTAAAAAAAATAAAATAGGCGGACACGGTGGCGCAGGCCTGTCATCCCAGCAGCTCAGAAGCCTGAGGCGGGAAGATCACAAATTCAAAGCCAGCCTCAGCAAAGTAAGGAGGCCCTGAGTGATTTAGCAAGACTCCTTCTCAAGATAAAATATATTTTTAAAAAAGGGCTGGGGATGTGGCTCAGGGGTTAACTGCCCTGGACTCGGGTTCAATCCCTAGTACCAAAAAACAAAAAACAACAACAAACAACAACAACAAAAAAAACTCAGCAATGACCACCACAAAACGGAACCAGCCTACCCACTCCCCCTCCCAAAGATAATAATAATAAGGATCGTTAATTGAGTACTTGCTAAGTGCCTGATTCTACCCGGAGCATTTTATAGTCACCTCCTCTAATGTCCAGATCCGCCCTGCTAGATAGAGGTGAGTAAGGCCCCTGTGTTCCGGATGAGGAAACCCAGGCTCGGGAGGGGAGTCTCCTTACCTGCAATCCCAGCCCAACTCCAAGGCTCGAGCTTCACCTCTGGGAGATGTTGGTGCAAAGCGCTCTGTCCTTTCTTTCCTCCGTCGCCTGCCTCAGGCACTGCTGTTAAGTCTGGCCTGTTGACACTGGGACATGAGATCCCTCCGCCCACGCCCAACCCCCAGATCAAAGGTGCACCTGTCACTCACCCCACGTGCCAGAGACGTCTGGAGAACCGAGGCAGCTCCTGGGGGTGCAGGTTCTATTTCCTGCAGGATTCTGGGTTGTCTGCCTGCCTGCCTGCCGGGGAGAACAGGAGTGCAAGGTCAAAGTCCGGAGCCGTGGATGGGACACTGTGCAAGGGGTGGGTCACAGTACCGCGCTGCTCCCCGGGACTGGACCCAGCCTGGCAGGGAGAACACGCCTCCCTCGCTCCCCGTCTCACAGAAGTCCCTGACTTTTCTGGCTGATCCCAAGCCCCTGTGGACAGGCCTGGGGGAGGGCGTGTGTGGGGGGCATTCTTGGAAGACTGATGGGCACAGGGAGCTCTGGCTTGCTGGCCAGCTGGAGACGATCCTCTCTCTTCCTGCTGCCACCCTGGCAGAGGGGAGGAGGGCTGTTCCCTGGGCCACAGTGGGTCCGGCCTGTGGGGTGGGGGTGGTAGCTTGGCAGCTCCAGAGGCACAGGACAGGGGCTCCCGGGCAGGCTGGCCAGGGCAGTGCCATTCTGGGACGCCGGAGAGACAACACTAAGGAGGGACCTGAGGGGACGCCTGTCTGGGCTGGGAGCCTGCGTGGTCCTCGGCTTCTGTATCCCAGAGACACCAGCGGCAGGACTCCAGGCCCTTCCTCCGCCCAGACCAGACCTGGAGCTGGCACTGGGGGAGCCCAGGGCTCCTCGGGCACCTTGCTCTATGCGCAGAGGGCGAGGCTGAGGCGCAGAGAGAGGCCACCGAGACCTGTGGAGGCCTCCCCCGGCCAGCTGGGGTGGTCCAGGCTCCTGACCTCCAGCAGCACCCAAGACAGGGGGAAGAGGACGTTAAGAAAAGGCACCGGGACACTCAGTGCCTAGTGTTTGCTCTTTCACAGTAAAAGAAAAAAATGGACGGGGTAAAGCCCACCTTTCATTTCTCATTTGAATGTTTTTTTACAACACCATGTATCCTGTGTGTATGTGTGTGTGTGGGGGGGGTGCCGGGGACTGAACCCAGGGCCTTGTGCATGCGAGGCAACCACTCTACTGAGCTGTTCCCCAGCACCTGCACCATGTATCATTGTTTTTGTATTTAAAAAAAAAAAAAGGTTTATTTATTTCTGCTATCAAAGAACAGAATTATGACAGTGTGATTTAACAATCCTAATTGGCTTCATTTTAAATTTTAAAATCAGGTAACACTTCATTCCATAAAACAGAATCAGTTTTCCTATGAGCCAAGCACTCATCAAAAATAATTTGATGAGTGAACATCCGATTATTTATCTTGCTTACACAAAATAAGGACAAGGGAACTTCATGATTTCTCCAGTTGAGAATGGCTCTTCTCCTTCTGATCCAGATTTCTCTTGGAGGACCAGATGTGTCAGCTTGGTTTGATTGACTCCATGTTTTGTTTTGTTTTTTCCCCCTGGAATATTGTCTCTGTTGAAAACTGGCTTCACAAAGAACGTGGCAGCAGGAAAATTTCAGAATCCAAACCTTAAAAATAAGTCTCGGGCAGTGTGGGGTTATTTTCTGTCTCTGGGGGGGATCATCTGGTGTCAGAGGCCTGGGGACAGAAGCAAAGTCCCCAGCTGCCCATCTAGGAGATGTCACTCTCAGTAGCGTCTGGTGTCCTGACCTGTGTTTGCCCAGGATGACAGTGGATAAAGAGCAGCAGGTCACAGGGGCCCCCTGACCCTCTGGGAGACAGAGCTCTCCCTGGGCAGACCCCGGGGCTAAAGGTCAGCGGCCAGGGGAGAATCAACAACTGTCCCCGCCTGAGGTCCCTGAGGTCCTGGGGCAGGGATGCAGGAGGCAGCCATTGTCACAAGGCGTCCCTGTCCCCAGCCAGGCCGGGCACCTGGCTAAGCGAGGAGAAAGACAGTGTCCCTGCTCAGGGTCTGGCCCCTGCCCCTGGTCTCACTTCCTCCCCGGCACCTCCTGGAAGGGGAGGAAGTGACACCCAGGGGAAGGCTGGGAAGTGAGGCCACCGTCACATTCAAGTTCAGGGTGTAACAGCTCAGGCTGCCTCCCAACAGGCCCCATACTCAGCTCCCCTTCATGGGCCACATCCCTTCTAAGAGTCACGCCCTGCCCTTTATAAGCACAAGGACCCAGAAGTTCCAGGGACACGTCCATGTTTAGGCCCTCGGATCCGGAAGTTCCTCAGGCATCCATGTCTAGGTCCCCGGAACTCAGGCACATGTCCCGGTTTAAGCCCCAGGATCCGGAAGTTCGATGGGTGCACGTCTATATTTAGGCCCCCGGATCTGGAAGTTCCTCAGGTGCACGTCCATGTTTAGGCCGTAGCATCCAGAAGTGCCTCGGGTGCACGTCCATGTTTAGGCTCTAGGATCTGGAAGTTTCTCAGGCGTCCATATTTAGGCCACAGATCTCGAGGTTCCTCGGGTGCACATCCATGTTTAAGCCCCCTGGGTCCGGAAGTTCCTCAGGCATCCATGTTTAGGCTCTGGGATCCAGAAATGCTTCAGGCATCCATGTTTAGGCCCCCGGATCTGGAAGTTCTTCAGGTGCATGTCCATCTTTGGGCTCTCAGATCCGGAAGTTCCTCAGTCCTCCATGTTTAGGCCCCCGGATCCGAAAGTTCCTCGGGTGCACGTCCATGTTTAGGACCCTGGATCCAGCTGTTCTTGTATTTTTTAAACCTTTATTTTATTTATTTATTTTTATCTGGTGCTGAGGATCAAACCCAGTGCCTCCCAGTTGCTAGACAAGCACTTTACCATTAAGCTCCAGCTCCAGTCGACCATGTATGATATTTATTGTAATTTTTAAACATTCATTTTACCAATCTATCTATTTATTGAATTATTTAGTGGTAGGTGGACACAATATCTTTATTTATCTGTTTTTACGTGGTGCTGAGGATCGAACCCAGTGCCTAACAGGTGCAAGGCAGGCGCTCTACCACCGAGCTATAGCCCCAGCCGACCATGTGTCATTTTTACAAATGATCCTGGTCCAAGTTCCTCGTGCCTCTCATACATCTTGAAGCACTTAGAAGTTCACAGAAGTTAGCCATATGTTTTTTTTATATTTTCCCACTCACTTCCTAGTCACATTATATTTTGTGGGAAAAAAAAATTGTTACCAGGATTGAACCCAAGGGTGCTTAACTGCTGAGCCACATCCCCAGCTCTTTTTAGTTTTTGAGACAAGGTCTTTCTTGCTAAATTCCTTAAGGGTCTTGCTAGGTTGCTGAGGCTGGCTTTGAACTTGGAATCCTCCTGCCTCAGCCTCCTGAGCCACTGGGATGACAGGTGTGTGCCACCATGCCCAGCTCGTCTTGTGATTTCCAGGTACCAGATCTATAGACTTATCTGGATGATCTCATTTAATATCAAAACAGCCCTGTAAGGTAGATGCTGTTATTATCATGCCCTCGTCAGTGCTGACAACCAGAAATGTGCCCACGATATTCATTAAAGCCAAACATCCTCCTGCCCTAAGACTGGCATCCCACTCTGTCATAGATGCCCAAGAGAATGAAGACACAGATTGGTCAAAAGGCTTGTATAAGAACGTCCCTGGGCTGGGGATGTAGATCAGGTGTAGAGTGCTTGCCTAATGTGCGTGAGGCTCTGCGTTCAATCTGCAGAATTCCCAAGGGAAAAATATGTTTCCTTCCAGTCGCAGTAGTGTATGCTTGTAATCCTAGCAACTGGGGAGTCTAGGAAAGGAGGATTAAAGAAAGTTCGAGGCCGGTCTGGGCAACATAGTGAGACCCTCCTTCAAAATAAAAATTTGATAGTGCTGGGGAAGTAGCTCTGTGGTAGAACATCCCTGGGTTAAATCCCCGGCAATATTTATCAGCCAAAAGTCAAATGTTTATCAGCCAAACAGTGGTGTTTTCAAACAGTCTCATGGAGGAATATTACACAGTGATGAAAAAGAAAATACAACAACCAGAACGAGTGTCAGTCTTACAGGGAGGAGAAGCCAGGCACCTTACATTCCCATTTTTTTTGAAAAGCATGATAGGGGGTGTGGGAAAGTGGCTAAGTCTGAGAGAGGAGGGAGAAAATGTTCTGAGATGCTGGAAACAGGTCTCTTAACCTGGGTGTTGATTACAGGAGTGTGTGCACAAGCAAAATTGTTTCAACTTCATGCTTAAAAATAAGATTAATGTACTTGACAAAAAGAGAGAGGGAAGGAAGAAGGAGGAAAGGGAATGACAGAAGGAAGGAGAGAGAGACAGAGACAGACCTTGCTCCCAGCCCCGCTGTGTAGAAGCAGAGGCCCAGCTATCAATCCAGGTCAGACTTGTTGGATCCAGCAGATAGATTACCCAGGATTGTACCTGTTGTCCCTTCCCCAGACAGCCAGAGTTCACGGCTGGGTCACTTTGTCACCATGACCAAGAGCTTAACCAAGAATGCAGAGTGGCCTCCGTCACCTGTGCCTATGCTGCAGGCCTGGAGGGGGGCTGTGGCTTCAGAAAGCCCTGAGCTGAGTGCAAAAAGGCATGTCCAGAACTGTTATTTAATTTGGGAAAATGAACTTAGGACATGCTTATTGTTATCTCAACCCAAACCTCGGGATATCGGATATCCCCTTACTTTTCTTTTCTTTCTTTCTTTTTTTTTTTTTTTTTGGTAGTGGGGATTGAACACAGGGGCACTCAACCACTGAGCCACTTCCCTAGCCCTTTTTTTGTAGTTTACTTATAGACAGAGTCTCACTGAGTTGCTTAGGGCCTCAATAAGTTGTGGAGGCTGGCCTCCAACTTGAGATCCTCCTGCCTCAGCCTTAGGGTGCACATCTGCGCCTGGCCCCTTATCTTTATCAGAATGAGGAATACTGATCTGGTTGAACCCATCCATTTTATAGTTAGGGAGACTGACAGAGAAAGAAGGAAAGAAACCAAATAAAGAAAGGGATATGTCCCAGGTCCCCCAGGGGTGTGGGGTCCACTCAGAGAGCCAGGGGAGAGCAAGCCCTCTCTACCACCCTCAAGTTCAGGGTTCATTGACCATCACAGCAGGAGGCCCCAGATCTTTGGAAGCAATCTCTGTTTATTTGACCAGTCAAAGGCCGTTTTGATCCACTTGCTGGCTTCTTGGTGAAAAACACAAACTCCTCACCTCCTGGGGCTCTGAAGGGCTCAGGCCAGGGCCAAGTCTTGGAGAATCCTCTATGGAAATCAGAACCCCAGGTTGGAGGAGGGGTTGAGGTCACAAGTTCTCTCTCTCTCTCTCTCTCTCTCTCTCTCTCTTTCATATGAAATTAGCTTTATTATAAATTTTCAAAGTATTACAGCACCCTCTGTTAGTTTATATAATGCAGAAGATATAAAGAAGATTGCAAGCTGGGTGCGGTGGGTCATGCTGTAATCCCGGGGCTCAGGAGGCTGAGGCAGGAGGATCACAAGTTCAAAGCCAGCCTCAGCATCTTGGCAATGTTGCAGAAACCTCGGTCCTTGTCCCCGATGCCCATCCAATAACAAGG